AGACAGAGAGACAGACACAGAGACACACAGAGAGAGACAGACACAGAGAGAGAGAGAGAGACAGAGAGAGAGAGAGAGAGAGAGACAGAGAGAGACAGAGAGAGAGACAGAGAGAGAGAGACAGAGAGACAGACACAGAGACACACAGAGAGAGACAGACACAGAGAGAGAGAGAGAGACAGAGAGAGAGAGAGAGAGAGAGAGAGAGACAGAGAGAGAGAGACAGAGACAGAGACAGAGAGAGAGAGAGAGAGAGAGAGAGAGAGAGAGAGCAGAGAGAGAGAGAGAGAGAGAGAGAGAGAGAGACAGACACAGAGACCGAGAGAGAGACAGAGAGACAGACACAGAGACACAAAGAGAGAGAGAGACAGAGACAGAGAGAGAGAGAGACAGAGACAGACAGAGAGACAGAGAGACGAGAGAGAGACAGAGAGAGAGAGAGAGAGAGAGAGAGAGAGAGAGAGAGAGAGAGAGAGACAGAGAGAGAGAGAGAGAGAGAGAGAAGCAGGGGGACAAATGAAAAGACAAAGGAAGGAGTACATAGTAAGGCAGGAAAGGAGGGGGAGAAGTAGGGATGAGAAAGGAGGGGGAGACTCACATGGAGGCACAGAGCAGCATGGCTTGGGACTCCACCCCCCTCATCTTCTGGGGCTTCAGGTTGCATAGCAACAACACCAGCCGGTCCTGCAAGGCCTCCTGGGAAACGTAGGCCACCAGGCCGCTCACCACCGTCCTTGGCTCCGCCTCTCCGACGTCTATCTTCTCCAGGTACAGCGAATCAGCATCCGGATGCTGAGGGAGGCGAGGACAGACAGAGAGAAAGACCAATCAGTGAAGAGAAAGAAAGGAAATTGGAGATGATTTGCTGAATCCCAAATAGCCCCTTAGCCTCTTCAGGTACATGAGTATTAGCTCCTCCATCTTGCTCTCTGATTGGCTGGGGGTATTTCCACCATATTTCCACCATTTGGAATTCAGCATTTCTCTCAAAAGGGTCTCCCTAGTTTAAATAAGGATAAATAAACGAATGAATGAATGAGTACCTTCTCCACACTGATGACCTTGCCCACCCTGATGTCCAATCTGGAGGGAACCAGTTCATCCCCTTCTGCTGCTTTAGAGTTCCCCTTCCCTGCTCCTTCTGACAGGGAGACATAGAGACACACAGGGTCAAGGGTCACAGGTCTGGAGAAACAGTCTCCTATAGGTCTACTTTAGGAAGCCTTGAGGTTTACGGTGATGAGCGGTTGGTAACAGTAGGTTCTACTGACTGTTCTTTGATGGGTCTGGATAGGCCGTGTTGGAGAGTTTACGGAGCTCTGGAGATTCAAACTTCTTCCTGATTGGGTCGAGCAGCTTGTTGAGGGCCACCTCCACGCCCGCCTTCAGGTCACCAGGATGGATCAGCTAGAGGTCAGAGGTTAGAGGTCAAACCAAATGCATGATGGGCCAACAACAGTGGTCATACAACAACAACAACAGCAGTCAGTCATGACCGTACCTCTTCGCCAAATTCTTTCTCCACTTCCTCAAAGTCTGTGTAGGTTTTGTCTCCTCCGAACTTGGGGTCTCTTTTAATGGAGAACTCTGAAAGAGATGCAACACAGACATGCTGACTCTAGCTGGTGCCTGGCACAGGAGGACTGTAGAGGGAGGAGGAGGACAGGGGGAGGAGGACTGTAGGGGGAGGAGGAGGACAGGGGGAGTATCCAGAGACAAGGGATGAAAGGAAGGGAAGAGTGGGAGGAGGATGAAAGAAGACATCAATTCACCTCCTACCATGATGAAGGAGAAGAGAGGAAGAAGAGGAGAGAAGAGGAGGAGAGAGAGGAAGAAGAGACTGACTCACCTCCAACCAAGGGGAATAGGACATGCTTGATAAAGGAAAAGAGAGGGGGAAGAGAACAGAACAGGAAAGAGGGGGAAGCAGGGGCATTACTCACCTCCTACGAGTGGGAAGAGGACATGTTTAACGAAGGAGAGGACTCCGTTGTTCTCAATGTTGCCCGGCTCACAGAAAGCCTTCTTCAGCTTCTTCTTTACATCCTCCTTCCTGTCCAGGAGGTCAATCTTTGACTCCTGCAGAGGTCAACAAGAAACACACAGGGCCACGTTCATTAGGCACCAACCAGAAGAAAACGGACAAACGGGGAAGGACTACCTGAACTTGTCCAATAAGAAACGTTCATTTTCTGTTGCAAAATGCTTTGCTACTGTCTGTCGTAATGAATACAACCCAGGGCTGTGTCCGTTTGGGATTGGTCAAAACAATATATTACCTCCAAAAGAAGAGGAAGGGAGGAAGGAAGGGATGCATTATAATCATAAAACTATTGTGACAGGGCCACTCACCTCCTCTGAAGAGCTCATCTTAGCCCCAGTCAGTCCTGGTACCATGGGGTTCATCAGATGGGAACGCTTAGCATAGCCAAGAGAAGGCAGGTACTGGAGGGAGGAAGAGATAGAGAGAGAAAGAGAAGGGGTGGAGAGAGAGAGAGAGTGGAAGAAGATCAGAGAAAGAAGGGTGAGAGAGAGAAAGAGAGACAAGAATGGTTGTAGGCAGCTCTAGATATAGAACAGGAGTGGTTGCGAGATGAGAGATAGAGTCTCACTACTTGTTTCTGGCGCTCTCGTCTCACTCTCTCTCGTTCTATCCCGAGACGCCTAGAGCCCTATCTAGCGACGCGTGCTCTACTCCTAGCTCTCTGCTTCTCTCTCTCTCTCCTCCTCCTCCCCCCCTTTCCGTCGCTTTCCTTTCTGATTCGCCTCTCTCGCTCTCCCCGTTCTCTCTGCTCTCCTCTTGTCTTTCTCGCAAGGGATATTCAGAATGTATACATTATGCAAAACTTACATATTACAATAATTTCTTAATTTCCCAGTTGATCAATTAATTAACTCAATCTAAAAAGAGCTTTCTCTACAAGAGGACAGTGCTGACAGTGTAACGGCAGGTAGCTTAGTGGTTAAGAGCGTTGTGCCAGTAACCGAAAGGTCGCTGGTTCTAATCCCCGAGCCGACTAGGTTAAAAAATTTGTCGATGTGCCCTTGAGCAAGGCACTTAACCCTAATTGCTCCTGTAAGTCACTCTGGATAAGAGCGTCTGCTAAATGACGTAAATGTCAATGTAAATGTAACAACAGGTCAGAAGGCTCAGGGTACCTTCTCAGCCAGTAGTAACAACAGGTCAGAAGGCTCAGGGTACCTTCTCAGCCAGTAGTAAATGTAACAACAGGTCAGAAGGCTCAGGGTACCTTCTCAGCCAGTAGTAACAACAGGTCAGAAGGCTCAGGGTACCTTCTCAGCCAGTAGTAACAACAGGTCAGAAGGCTCAGGGTACCTTCTCAGCCAGTAGTAACAACAGGTCAGAAGGCTCAGGGTACCTTCTCAGCCAGTAGTAACAACAGGTCAGAAGGCTCAGGGTACCTTCTCAGCCAGTAGTTAACAACAGGTCAGAAGGCTCAGGGTACCTTCTCAGCCAGTAGTAACAACAGGTCAGAAGGCTCAGGGTACCTTCTCAGCCAGTAGTTACAACAGGTCACAAGGCTCAGGGTACCTTCTCAGCCAGTAGTAACAACAGGTCAGAAGGCTCAGGTACCTTTCTCAGCCAGTAGTAACAACAGGTCAGAAGGCCTCAGGGTACCTTCTCAGCCAGTAGTAACAACAGGTCAGAAGGCTCAGGGTACCTTCTCAGCCAGTAGTAACAACAGGTCAGAAGGCTCAGGGTACCTTCTCAGCCAGGGTGAAGATCTTCCTCTGATCCACTCCTCCAAACTGGGCATCTACTTTCAGATACTCCTCATCTAGAGCCTAGAAGACGGACGGGGCAAATGGGTTACAAACCTGTTATAACCATGTTATTACCTGTTGTCCAGGGTAGAGCAGGCCACTGAGTAGTGGGTGTTATAATATGTTATTACCTGTAGTCTATAACCATGTTATTACCTGTTGTCCAGGGTAGAGCAGAGTAGTGGGTGTTTACAATTGATAGCCAGGTTACCTTCTCAGTCTAGTAACATGTATACACTTTTGTCCAGGGTAGGCTCGAGTAGCTGTTTATCAAGTGTTATAACCAGTATTAACGGTCATACCTGTCATACCTTAGAGCAACCACTGAGTAAGGGGTTTATAATGTGCTTCATAACCTGTCTATCCTGTAGTAACAACAGGTAGAGCTCAGGTACCTGTCAGACCATAGTAACAGACAGGTTAAATGGTTATAACCTTTATACCTGTAGTCCAGGGTAGACAGACCCTGACCAGTTAAAGGTGTTATATTGTTATACATGTATACCCTGCTAGTCCGGGTAGAGCAGACCACTGGAGGGATGTTATAAACCTGTGTTATACCATGTTATTACCTGTAGTCCAGGGTAGAGCAGACCACTGAGTAGTGGGTGTTTATAATGTGTTAGTAAACCATGTTATTACCTGTAGTCCAGGGTAGAGCAGGCCACTGAGTAGGGGTGTTATAATGTGTTATAACCATGTTAATACCTGTAGTCCGGGGTAGAGCAGACCACTGAGTAGAGGGTGTTATAATGTGTTATAACCATGTTTAATACCTGTAGTCCGGGGTAGAGCAGACCACTGAGTAGAGGGTGTTATAATGTGTTATAACCATGTTAATACCTGTAGTCCGGGGTAGAGCAGACCACTGAGTAGAGGGTGTTATAATGTGTTATAACCATGTTAATACCTGTAGTCCGGGGTAGAGCAGACCACTGAGTAGTGGGTGTTATAATGTTTATAACCATGTTAATACCTGTAGTCCAGGGTAGAGCAGGCCACTGAGTAGTGGGTGTTATAATGTGTTATAACCATGTTATACCTGTAGTCCAGGGTAGAGCAGATCACTGAGTAGAGGGTGTTATAATGTGTTATAACCATGTTAATACCTGTAGTCCGGGGTAGAGCAGACCACTGAGTAGAGGGTGTTATAATGTGTTATAACCATGTTAATACCTGTAGTCCAGGGTAGAGCAGGCCACTGAGTAGAGGGTGTTATAATGTGTTATAACCATGTTATTACCTGTAGTCCAGGGTAGAGCATGGCAACTGAGTAGAGGGTGTTATAATGTGTTATAACCATGTTAATACCTGTAGTCCCGGGGTAGAGCAGATCACTGAGTAGAGGGTGTTATAATGTGTTATAACCATGTTAATACCTGTAGTCCAGGGTAGAGCAGGCCACTGAGTAGTGGGTGTTATAATGTGTTATAACCATGTTATTACCTGTAGTCCAGGGTAGAGCAGATCACTGAGTAGAGGGTGTTATAATGTGTTATAACCATGTTAATACCTGTAGTCCGGGGTAGAGCAGACCACTGAGTAGAGGGTGTTATAATGTGTTATAACCATGTTAATACCTGTAGTCCCAGGGTAGAGCAGGCCACTGAGTAGAGGGTGTTATAATGTGTTATAACCATGTTATTACCTGTAGTCCAGGGTAGAGCAGACCACTGAGTAGTGGGTGTTATAATGTGTTATAACCATGTTAATACCTGTAGTCCAGGGTAGAGCAGGCCACTGAGTAGTGGGTGTTATAATGTGTTATAACCATGTTATTACCTGTAGTCCAGGGTAGAGCAGGCCACTGAGTAGAGGGTGTTATAATGTGTTATAACCATGTTAATACCTGTAGTCCGGGGTAGAGCAGACCACTGAGTAGAGGGTGTTATAATGTGTTATAACCATGTTAATACCTGTAGTCCGGGGTAGAGCAGATCACTGAGTAGAGGGTGTTATAATGTGTTATAACCATGTTAATACCTGTAGTCCGGGGTAGAGCAGACCACTGAGTAGTGGGTGTTATAATGTGTTATAACCATGTTAATACCTGTAGTCCAGGGTAGAGCAGGCCACTGAGTAGAGGGTGTTATAATGTGTTATAACCATGTTAATACCTGTAGTCCGGGGTAGAGCAGATCACTGAGTAGAGGGTGTTATAATGTGTTATAACCATGTTAATACCTGTAGTCCGGGGTAGAGCAGACCACTGAGTAGTGGGTGTTATAATGTGTTATAACCATGTTAATACCTGTAGTCCCAGGGTAGAGCAGGCCACTGAGTAGTGGGGTGTTATAATGTGTTATAACCATGTTATTACCTGTAGTCCAGGTAGAGCAGGCAACTGAGTAGAGGGTGTTATAATGTGTTTATAACCATGTTAATACCTGTAGTCCGGGGTAGAGCAACCACTGAGTAGAGGGGTGTTATAAATGTGTGATAACCCATGTTTATTACCTGTATCCAGGGTAGAGCAGGCCACTGAGTAGAGGGTGGTTATAATGTGTTATAAACCATGTTAATACCTGTAGTCCGGGTAGAGCAGCCACTGAGTAGAGGGTGTTATAATGTGTTATACCATGTTATTACCTTAGTCCGGGTAGAGCAACCACGAGTAGAGGGTGTTATAATGTGTTATAAAACCATGTTAATATACCTGTAGTCCGGGGTAGAGCAGATCACTGAGTAGAGGGTGTTATAATGTGTTATAACCATGTTATATACCTGTAGTCCAGGGTAGAGCAAGGCCACTGAGTAGAGGGTGTTAAATGTGTTTATAACCATGTTATTAACCTGTAGTCCAGGTAGAGCAGGACACTGAGTAGAGGGTGTTATAATGTGTTTATAACCATGTTATACCTGTAGTCCGGGGTAGAGCAGACCACTGAGTAGGGTGTTATAATGTGTTATAACCATGTTATTACCTGTAGTCCAGGGTAGAGCAGGCCACTGAGTAGAGGGTGTTATAATGTGTTATAACCATGTTATTACCTGTAGTCCAGGGTAGAGCAGGCACTGAGTAGAGGGTGTTATAATGTGTTATAACCATTTAATACCTGTAGTCCAGGGTAGAGCAGACCACTGAGTAGAGGGTGTTATAATGTGTTATAACCATGTTAATACCTGTAGTCCGGGTAGAGCAGATCACTGAGTAGAGGGTGTTATAATGTGTTATAACCATGTTAATACCTGTAGTCCAGGGTAGAGCAGATCACTGAGTAGAGGGTGTTATAATGTGTTATAACCATGTTATTACCTGTAGTCCAGGGTAGAGCAGACCACTGAGTAGAGGTGTTATAAATGTGTTATAACCATGTTATTACCTGTAGTCCAGGGTAGAGCAGACCACTGAGTAGAGGGTGTTATAATGTGTTATAACCATGTTATTACCTGTAGTCCGGGGTAGAGCAGACCACTGAGTAGAGGGTGTTATAATGTGTTATAACCATGTTATTACCTGTAGTCCGGGGTAGAGCAGATCACTGAGTAGAGGGTGTTATAATGTGTTATAACCATGTTATTACCTGTAGTCCGGGGTAGAGCAGACCACTGAGTAGAGGGTGGTCCACCTGTTTAACCACCTCAGCTCCAGCCTTCTTAGCATCATGTTCTGTTACCATGGACGATAGACGGTACACGTCCAGAGTGTACTCTCTAAGGGAGGGAGAGAGACAGGCAGAGGGCATACGTAGGTACATCAAGGGAGGGAGAGAGACAGGCAGAGGGCATACGTAGGTACATCAAATGAGCACTGACTTTGACATCTAAACACTATGGACTGGTTTCCCTGACAAAGATTGAGTCTAGTCCTGAACTAAAAAGCATGTTCAATGTGGATTCTTCAAAGTGCATTCTGAGTTCAAGGCTGCGAGACCAGCTCCTACAAACCAGAGCCTTGCATTGAGATAACGGTTGTTGAAAGACGAACTACTGAGCCTGCCCGCTAACCTGCTGAGTTGGAAGTCTGTCCCCTTGATGAACTTGAGTTTGTCCAGCGGCACCCCGATGCTCTCCAGCATAGCCTTGATCACCTGTTCATAGTACTGCACCCTCAGCTCCAGCAGCTCCCAGGGAGCCTTCATGTTGTCCAGGAACGCATGCAGGTCTGCAAACAGGATGGTCACCTGGGGAGGGGGTCGGCAGGGGAGTTAGACATTTAAAAAGAAAACATTTTAGTCATTTAGCAGACGCTCTTATCCAGAGCGACTTACAGTTAGTGAGTGCATACATTTTCATACTGCCCCCCCCCCCCCCCCCCCCCCCCCCCCCCCCACCCGGGAATCGAACCCACAACCCTGGCGTTGCAAGCGCCATGCTCTACCAACTGAGCTACACGGGACGGACACACACCCGCACAAATAGTTAGGGCTGAGAATTGCTAGGGAACTTACGGGAACTTACTCAAGCTAACGCAACCTAGCTCTAGCTAACGCTACCTAGCTCTAGCTAACGCTACCTAGCTCAAGCTAACGCTACCTAGCTCAAGCTAATGCTACCTAGCTCTAGCTAACGCTACCTAGCTCTAGCTAACGCTACCTAGCTCTAGCTAACGCTACCTAGCTCAAGCTAATGCTACCTAGCTCTAGCTAACGCTACCTAGCTCAAGCTAATGCTACCTAGCTCTAGCTAACGCTACCTAGCTCAAGCTAATGCTACCTAGCTCTAGCTAACGCTACCTAGCTCAAGCTAATGCTACCTAGCTCTAGCTAACGCTACCTAGCTCAAGCTAATGCTACCTAGCTCTAGCTAACGCTACCTAGCTCTAGCTAACGCTACCTAGCTCTAGCTAACGCTACCTAGCTCTAGCTAATGCTACCTAGCTCTAGCTAATGCTACCTAGCTCTAGCTAACGCTACCTAGCTCTAGCTAATGCTACCTAGCAAAAATACATCAATATTTGTATTATTTAAAAAATGTCTTTCTATTTATTTTTTACGATATCGATATAATACCGTCCAAAATAATACTGTGATAAGTAGCTAGTGGTTCTTTCCCCCATCACAACAAAATAGGCTGGTCAATAATGAGGGAAGCACATTCACACACATCAGATAAGTTAGGAAGATAAGGGAATCAAACACACACACACAGATCTCACCTCACACCCTGCCTTGAGGAAATCTGCGATCTTGGACATGGGGACGAAGTAGGCAACATGGGGTTTTCCTGTGGTGGCTGTTCCCCAGTACACCTTCAGTTCCCTCTCTGCCAGAACCTGCTTCATCTTCTCCTCTCCAAGCACCTCCTGAAACACCACACACAGACAATATCAACCATTCAATAGAGAGAGAGTGTGTGTGTTTACCTTTATTTAGTGTGTGTGTGTGTGTGTGTGTGTGTGTGTGTGTGTGTCCCACCTGCAGGTTCCTAGTGATGAGGTGAAGCTTCTCATCTGGGCTCAGCTGTTCTCCCATGGTGCCTAGCTCCTACACAGAGAGGGGAGGGAGAGGAGAGGAGAGGAGAGGAGAGGAGAGGAGAGGAGAGGAGGGGAGGGGAGAGGAGGGGAGGGGAGGGGAGAGGAGAGGAGAGGAGAGGAGGGGAGAGGAGAGGAGAGGAGGGGAGGGGAGGGGAGAGGAGAGGAGAGGAGGGGAGGGGAGAGGAGGGGAGGGGAGGGGAGGGGAGGGGAGAGGAGAGGAGAGGAGGGGAGGGGAGGGGAGGGGAGAGGAGAGGGAGGGAGAGGAGAGGAGAGGAGAGGAGAGGAGGGGAGGGGAGGGGAGGGGGGGAGGGGAGGGGAGGGGAGGGGAGGGGAGGGGAGGGGGGGGGGGGGGGAGGGGAGGGGAGGGGAGGGGAGGGGAGGGGAGGGAGGAGAGGGGAGGAGAGAGAACAGGAGGTGGGTGGCACAGTTATTGAGTCAGGGAATATGAGTCAGGGTGCATATCCCAAATGGCACTCCATTCCCTATATAGTGCACTACTTTTGACCAGAGAATGGCACCCCATTCCCTACATAGTGCACTACTTTTGACCATGGCCCAAAGGGAATATGGTGATATTTGAGACGCACACCTGTGACTGCCTATGAGCTATCTAGCTAACGGTAGACGACAAATATTTGACAGGTTGATAGGTAGCTAGCAAGTTACCAAAGTAAACAGTAATTTAGCAGTCTAGACATCTAGTTAGCTAGATAAGTAACAGTGTGTTTTAGAGCAGTGTTATACCAAGCAGAATTTAGTCACTGGTAGTGCTAGCCTGGCTCAATTACTTGTTAGTTAGCAACTTCAGTTACTGTTGCCAGTGACAATTGAGCTGGCTATTATTGACACCGTGAAAGTGAATGAACCGTCCATGTTAAGCGCTAGCATTTGGCTAACCATTTGTAGCGAACTGGTTGGCTAAAACACAATATAGACAACACTTGAGTGGTTGAAACTTTGAAATCATATATAAACCGTCGTCAGAAAAGCATACTAGCTATAGAAAATTCCATATTACCTTAGCGTTAATGTGTTAGATGTTTAGATGTAGAAGCCAGGTGGACCCGTCAATGTGTTGCATCAGCAGTGAGTGGATTTCTGGGATCTACTCAACCAGACAACAGGGAGAGCAAATCGAATTCAGAGACATCGATCGATGCATCAGCTCTATTCCATCGCCACCAGATGGCGGGTGTGTCCCCCAGGGGGGTCGCGGGAGGATTTTAAGGGATCGCAGGATTTGTGCAAGAATATATATATATAAAAAGGTAACCGCCGCACCTAAACTTTTATTTTGAAAGGATACCGCCGCACCGCTTATTGCAGCTGACCTTACACAACGTTACGGCTACACACAGGCGTGCGTCCGCTGCTCTACTTATTGCTGCTGACTTTGTACGTGCAGTGCGCTCCGCAGTGATGAAATGGCTCGCTACGTTCGGGTCTCAGAGGGTTTTCGCCCCACACACACTCACTAACCAATACAATAACGTTCTCGCCCCACACACACACACACACACACACTGATCCAATAACAATGTCATTCTGCAACATTGTTTTTGTTTTAAATGTGACACGTCCAATCAGATCATACAGATCTTCTTCTGACAGCTAGCTTGATTGACAGCTAACTATGCAGATGTGTTCTGCGGGCATTGCGCATGTGGCTAGCTATCTGTGATTTAACTCCTGTAGGCTAGCTGTCAGAGTAAAATCATGGACATCTTTTTAAAAACGTGCAGCTCCCTCTTCATCTACTGCTGCTTCCAATGTCAACAACAAGGCAGACAACCCGGTCCCTGTCAAGAAGAGAAAATACGACCCCGACTTCATCAAATATGGTTTTACATATATAGAGTACAGGCAGGGTGAGTGCGTCCTATGAGCTGTTCGCTAATGAGAGCATGAAACCTCCTAAATGAAAAGCCATCTGGACACCAATAATCCAAGACACAAAGATAAGACAGCTGACTTTTTGAAAATAAAATATTAATATCTGGAGGCTTCCCAAGATTCATTGAAGAACGTATGCACCGTACAAGCAAAGGCACTTAGCGCATCACACCTTGTGGTCCAGCGCATTGCTAAGTGCAAAAAAGTCCACACCAGCGCAGAGGATCTCATACTCCCTGCTGCGAATGATATGTGCACTGAAATCTTGGGAGAGTCAGCCACCAACAAACTTAAAACCATTCCCCTATCATGCAGAGGTCCGCTGGATATCCAGAGGTACATTGTTGGGTCGCTTTTATGAGCTTCAAGCGGAGATTGCTGCGTTTCTTTCGGAAAACAAGTCACCTCTGGCTGAACATTTCGATTGTGAGGAATGGCTGGCGAAGGTTGCCTGAATTCGCTCGATGTGTCAAAGCAAGGGACCGGGGACACAATGTGTCAAAGCAAGGGACCGGAGGCACAATGTGTCAAAGCAAGGGACCGGAGGCACAATGTGTCAAAGCAAGGGACCGGAGGCACAATGTGTCAAAGCAAGGGACCGGAGGCACAATGTGTCAAAGCAAGGGACCGGAGGCACAATGTGTCAAAGCAAGGGACCGGAGGCACAATGTGTCAAAGCAAGGGACCGGAGGCACAATGTGTCAAAGCAAGGGACGGGGGCACAATCGATCTGAACAGAGGGACAAAGTGGATGCCTTCAAGATGAAGCTTACCGTTTGGGCGAATCATGTTTCTAACGGGAGGATTGACATGTTTCCCAATGCTGATTTCGAGATTCAGAATCTGATCAACAAAGCGCACAGCGACACACAAAAAAAAAACGGTTAAATATCATCTTGTTAAGCTGCAGGGAAAGTTTTGCGACTACTTCCCGGGAGGAAAAACAGGAGACAAGACGACTGGATACGGGACCCCTTTCGAGTGGAGATGGGGAAGCGTCACGTTGCCAAGCAACGAAGAGGATCAGCTGGTGGCGCTGTCGTTTGATCGCGGACTGAGCATGCGCTTCCCGGAAATGGCACTGCTACAGTTCCGGTGCAGCGTAGAGGGAGAGTATCCTGGTCTCACCGGTCAATCAGAATCTACGCTACCGTTCAGCTCTACCTATCCGTGTGGAAGTGGCTTCTCTGCTATGGCGGAGTTGAAAACTGAAACAAACTGGACAGCCAGCATGACGTCCGAGTTGACCTGTCAACCATCACCCCCAGACTTCAATAAACGTATCAAACTGAAGAAACACCCCCAGTTTTCCCACTGATAGGCCACACACACACACAATAAATAAACAGGTAAATGAGTTATTGTTGAGTATATTAATTATTATTGTTAATTAATTCTGACATTCATATTACATTTTATTGAACTGGTTAAAAACTTACACCTTTAAAAAAGCTTTTCAAGATTGTGAAACTATTCACATGGTAATTCATGATTACGAAATCCTAATGATTGTTGTTTTTTCTATTTAAACACTGGTATGTGTTACTTTTCATTAACATTATTGGACTGGTTTTGATGTCATGTTCTGAGTCTGGTCATTTATTACACCCCACTCCTGAACTGGCCGCCTAATTAAATGGCTTATTCTCTTGAATTGATAATCAATGTTTTCTCAGTTAATATGGCTGTGTAACGACTTTCTTTAATACCATAATAGTATCCCATTGAGACAGAGTCTATTTTGCAAGTGAAGCCTGCCCAAGAAAGCAGCTGCAATACAACATTACAAAATGTAATCATCAACGGTCCATAATATTGGGTCGCGACTCAATTGTCATTGTCAAATGCGGGTCCCCAGGCAAAACCAGTTGAGAACCACTGGTGTAAAGTAAACAGAGCACTGTCCTATGGAACTAGTGCGTCTTCATAACCTGTCCTTATCTCCCCTACTCTAAAAACACAAGTCACATATGGAGGATGTCAGCAAATGCCGCACTTGACTATAGAGAGATGCACTGTTACCACGGATAGAACAAGGAGCCAGATATTTCGTCTGCATGCTTCCCAGCCTAAACAGTTCGGAAGAGTTTGTGCATATATTATGATGACATTTTGTGATGGTTTTGTTCGTTTTAGTAAGTTTTTTTTTCGGGCTGTTCGCGCACACCATTTTTGTTTCTCAAGGCCAGCGGAAGCTCAGGAGCTGAAGTCTACGCCCCTTGGTCCGTGATTGGTCAACAGTGGAGATTTTTCAATAAAGTCTTTGTTGTCATTTAAAGAAAGACGACTCGTTTTCAAGCAGAGTTTTTCATTGAGAAATACTGCACCAAACATCTTAGATAGATGTAAAATTGCCCGACTAAGAACTCGGCAAAAACGTAAAAATGAATTACAGATTTCTTGCGCAAAGGTCTTTTAAGGGACTATGCTGAGCACACTCGTTCTGCTGCCTAGCCGATTTCAACTGCCAGCCGAACTGTAGAATGCCCGACGCATTTAATAAGTGTGAAGCGTTTACACTCTACCAAATATGTTGATGACAGGAGGCCCAGTGGCAGACAGTGGGAGAAGATGGAGCAAGGTGGATTTTGGCCGACATTATGCACATTTTCTCATCGAATAACCATTTGATCTCAATACAATTTTCTTACAAAGACACCGTGGTTGGAACCAAAGATCTCCAATTTGGAGTCCAGACCAAAGGACACATTTCCACTGGTCTAATGTCCATTGATTGTGTTTCTTGGCCCAAGCAGGTCTCTTCTTATTATTGGTGTCTTTTAGTAGTGGTTTCTTTGCAGCAATTCGACCATGAAAGCCTGATTCAGACAGTCTCCTCTGAACAGTTGATGTTGAGATGTGTCTGTGACTTGAACTCTGTGAAGCATTTATTTGGGCTGCAATTTCTGAGGCTGGTAACTCTAATGAACGTATCCTCTTTAGCAGAGGTAACTCTGGATCTTCCATTCCTGTGGCGGTCCTCATGAGAGCCAGTTTCATCATAGCGCTTGATGGTTTTTGCGACTGCACTTGAAGAAACTTTCAAAGTTCTTGAAATGTTCCTTATTGACTGACCTTCATGTCTTAAAGTAATGATGGACTGTCATTTCTCTTTGCTTATTTGAGCTGTTCTTGCCATAATATGGACTTGGTCTTTTACCAAATAAGGCTATCTTCTGTATACCCCCCCTACCTTGTCACAACACAACTGATTGGCTCAAACGCATTAAGAAGGAAATAAATTCCACATATTAACTTTTAAGACGGCACACCTGTTTTTTGGTTACTACACGATTCCATGTGTGTTATTTCATAGTTTTGATGTCTTCACTATTATTCTACAGTGTAGAAAATAGTAAAAATAAAGAAAAACCCTTGAATGAGTAGGTGTGTCCAAACTTTTGACTGGTACTGTATATATATATTTTTGCATTAGGTAAAACGGACCTCCTAAATCTTTCTGTTGAGCACTTTGGCATTACCGTGGTCCTCTGTAGCTCAGCTGGTAGAGCACGGCGCTTGTAACGCCAAGGTAGTGGGTTCGATCCCCGGGACCATCCATACACAAAAATGCGTCTGCTAAATGGCATATTATTATTCATTACAAGCCAGTTGTTCAAAGTGTTCCTAGGGTCATTGGAAGGACTGTACAGATATCCAGTTTCTGTCTGGTTCTCTGCTCTGTCATGACCTCCAGAGAGTCAGGAGTCAAGGCCAATAACTAACTCCAACAACTGAATCAACCTTCCTAATCAGTTTGTTGATCTTGTTCCTGATGTGGACAATTTAATATCCAAAATAACCCTCTACTTACTACCTCATTCTGGAATAATTATGAAAAAATTAGCATATGATTTTGTGTTCATATTGACAGATTATAAAGATGCACATTGTTCTCAATATCAGAAATGCCGGGATCAACAAAAAAAAATAGTGTCCAAACTGTGCCCAAAACCTTGGGGTGAGGGCTAAAAAAAATTAAGTTCTGTGGGGCCCCACAGCCCTACAAAGAAAGAAAAAAACAGAGGCTGGAAAAAACGTCCATGTGAGTGAAAATATTGTCGTCACAAGCATATCTGTTGATATTTTGTTTGTTCAGGCAGACTGGAAAACCTTTTTTTGTAAGACAATAACCCTTAGTATGTACAACTAGGAGCAAGGAGACTTGTGTGACGTTCCTTTGACATTGTACAGTAATAATGACCATAACATACTGTGGTTTCAGCTTCTTAGTGTTAGGCCTACTGCTGCTAGGTAGCTCTCTCTCTGCTCTCCCCCTCCCCTCTGTCTGTCCTTGATTGCAGGAGTGAAGTCTGGTGTGCGGGAGTCAGGGTTCCAGCTGCAGCTCATTCACCATAATCACCTCAGCCTTTAAGACCCGGTCAAACTTGCCACTCATCGTCAGATCATAGTCAAGACGACCATGTTAGTCTCGCTGCTGACTCAACCTGCTTGTTTTCGCTCTTTGTGTTTTTGGCCTGTTCTATTTATATTTCTCCTGTGCCACAGATTATTGGAACCTGACTCCTGCCTCCGCTTCACTCCTGCCACCACCATCCTGCTTTCCACTACTGGACCTCCCTTTTGGACTCACCCCGGACACTAGGACGTTACGGTACCACTCCTGCTCAGAACCTGGATCTGTTACCCTCCCGGTAGACCTGGACTTGCTCTTCCCCCTTTTTGGAAACCTGGACTATTTTACTTTGCAATAAACCTGTTAAACTTTCTCTGGCTCGGTGTAGTTGTCTGCATTTGGGTTCATATCCAGTTAAATCATGACACTTAGTCTAAAGGATATGTCAAAGAAGAAGACGTAGGGGGGGTTAAAGCCCAGATCCTCACCACCTCTAGGGACCTGTCAGAGGAGGAGATGGTGGCTGGCTCACACTGATCTTAGGTGTGTGTTTGAGAAGATACTCTACTGTAAGTATACTTGATTGATATACACTGAGTGTACAAAGCATTATGAACACCTGCTCTTTCCATGACATTGACTGACCAGGTGAATCCAGGTGAAGGCTGTGATCCCTTATTGATGTCACCTGTTAAATCCACTTCAATCAGTGTAGGTGGAGGAGACAGGTTAAAGAAGGATGTTTAAGCCTCGAGACAATTGAGACATGGACTATGTATGTGTTCTATTCAGATGGTGAATGGGCAAGACAAAACATTTAAGTGCCTTTAAACGGGGTATGGTAGTACAGTACCAGTCGAAAGTTTGGACACACCTACTAATTCCAGGGTTTTTCTTTATTTTTACTATTTTTTACATTGTAGAATAATAGTGAAGACATCAACTATGAAATAACACATATGGAATCATGTAGTAACCAAAAAAAGTGTTAAACAAATCAAAATATATTTTATTTTAGCTCTATTTGGTAAAAGACCAAGTCCATATTATGGCAAGAACAGCTCAAATAAGCAAAGTGAAACAACAGTCCATCATTACTTTAAGACATGAAGGTCAGTCAATACGGAACATTTCAAGAACTTTAAACGTTTCTTCAAGTGCAGTCGCAAAAACCATCAAGCGCTATGATGAAACTGACTCTCATGAGGACCGTCACAGGAATGGAAGACCCAGAGTTACCTCTGCTGCAGAGGATAAGTTCATTAGAGTTACCAGCCTCAAAAATTGCAACCCAAATAAATGCTTCACAGAGTTCAAGTAACAGACACATCTCAACATCAACTGTTCAGAGGAGACTGTGTGAATCAGGCCTTCATGGTCGAATTGCTGCAAAGAAACCACTACTAAAGGACACCAATAATAAGAAGAGACTTGCTTGGGCCAAGAAACACGAGCAATGGACATTAGACCGGTGGAAATCTGTCCTTTGGTCTGGAGTCCAAATTGGACATTTTTGGTTCCAACCATCGTGGCTTTGTGAGACGCGGTGTGGGTGAACGGATGATCTCCGCATTTGTATTTCCCAACATAAAGCATGGAGAAGGAGGTGTTATGGTGTGGGGGTGCTTTGCTGGTGACACTGTCTGTGATTTATTTAGAATTCAAGGCACACTTAACCAGCACTCACTAACTGTAAGTCGCTCTGGATAAGAGCGTCTGCTAAATGACTAAAATGTAATAATGAAACAATACAAAAAATAAAATAAAAAATGTAATCATGTATTATTTCTATTATTAAATAAATCATTAAAAAATCCTTTCTGCATAACACAAAAAAACAAGTCCCGAAGGAAAACAATGACTCACAAGACCATTGATGACCTCATCGATGTCCTTCGCATAACCGGTGCATTTTCAGAAGCTCCTCCTACTCTGGGCTCAACTTTATGCAAATGTGGCCGGTATTTATTTGCACGCAACATCGCAGCAGAAAAAGCCCACCATGCCAGCAGAACACAGCTCATTGCATAGGCGTATATATCTGGACTCTGTACATGTAGAGGGCCTTGAGGAGCGCGCCGTGTCGGCAAACTGCCATCTCAAGGCCCTCCTTGTCTACTTTGGCAGATGATTTTCCTGACGTCTCTTTGGCCGCCGTCCACTCTTGACGCGCCACACGCTCCTTTGCCTGGCGTCTACGACATGAAAATCACAGTGAAGTGCAGAGATTAACTTAAAAGGAAACACGTTGTAAACTGTGTGACATTAAGCTATGTTATCTTAAACAGACATTGAATAATAATGTCATTACGTGATTGGTATTTGTATGGACGATGTTTGACGAAGGATGACATCATGATCGTCTTTCACCAGGAAGACACCGTCATAGAAGTCCTTCTCAACACTAAATAGAGAGTTAGGCTGCAAGATGACATCACAAAATTATACATAAAACCCAAACCGCCCAGGGGTGGCAAGTAGCCTAGAGAGGTGGGGTTGCAGGTTCAAATCCCAGACATCTGACCGTGTTGCTCCAACCGCTCTGTGTGTGTGTGTGTGTCTGTCTCCGAGGGATTTGGATAAAGCAAAAATACATGGATAATGACCTTCTAATTGACAATTAATCTTCTTCTAAAAAGAAGACCAACTGCAACATAACATCGCAAAAATATACTTCATAGCAAAAAGAAGACCAGCATGCACTTTAAGAAGGTATAATTATACCCTGAACAAAACAACACATAGGAAGGTAGTACAAACCCCGAGGTTTTATGGAAGCGGTATTGCTTGTGATTCACATCCACTGATATAGTATCCATCTCCCGTGAGCAGGCAGGACAATGGAGGAGATCGCTTCCACAAAATCTTGTCTATTTCAAATATTAACCACTAATTCATTCAAATGACCATTTGATGAGTACACACACACTTACCCTGCCAAAGTGCTTTGTTCTTCCGTCAAATCATTCCCACAAAGGCTTGACGGGAGCATCCTGGGGCCAACACTTTCATGTCTTCAGAGGACTTGAAGAGGTCCGTCCACTGTGAAGATGGTCTGGTGAGTCACGGTGGCCTGGTGAGTCACGGTGGCCTGGTGAGTCACGGTGGTCTGGTGAGTCACGGTGGCTGGCCAGAAGCCACTCTTTACAAGTTCATCCTCCAGCCAGCCTCAATGTCTCAGACCCCCGGAGCAGTTCAGAGCAAGAAGGGACAGGTTGTCGCGCCCTGAGTCAGGAGTCATTATTAGGAAGTCATTCATTACATTCTTTAAAAACATGTGACTAGAAGTAAAGTCCTTTAAAATCACAGACTTACCTTTTATTCCAATCAGGATGACCTGCTTGTCACTCGTCACTGTCGGGGAGCTGGAGGGGCAAACACACTGCTGTGGGCAAAATGGGCAAAATACAAACTAGAAACCAAAATGTGACACCAAAGAATCACAAATAAATTGTTCTACATATTTTTGACACACCTTGGTAAGGAATCCCTCATCATCCTGATGAATTACTGTGGTTGGGGACAAGGGGCAGTAAAACCCTTAAAACAGAGACTCCCTTGTTGTGAAAAACCTTGGTGCTTTGGGTGGCTGTGTCACACGGGGCACAGAGAAGATGCCTGGGCAGCCAATCTCTGCACCACACAACCGCATCCTCACTGTTGCAATACTGACACTGGCCCAACACGGCACCTTCAGCAGAGAGAGCATGCTGTCCACCATTGCCTCTCTCTTTTCCCCCCGGTTTTGTACAAACAAGGTCTGCCTCTCTGCCCAAGTCACCTTTGGAGTTACATGACAATCTGGCCCAGTGAAACTCCCCATCAGCTCCTGTAGGTCCTGCATCATGGAGTCTTGTGGAGATAAAAATGAATGAAATACAAAACGGGGGGGGGGGGGGGGGGGGGGGGGGGGGGGGGGGGGGGGGGGGCAGTATGAAAAATGCATGCACTCACTAATTGTAAGGCGCTCTGGATAAGAGCGTCTGCTAAATGACTAAAAAGTAAAATGTAAAAAAAATTCTTATTATTTTGGGAGTAATACATTTATAACATTTTGAATCTATTTTCAATACATGCAACCTAAGAGTTCATGCCTGCAAAACAGAGGCTTTAGGTTACAGTCCATGGTCTGAGGATTTGAACGTTTATAGCACTACTTTGTATTTGATCCCACATTGAAATGAAAGCCAGCGAGCCAGCTAAAATTGGTCAGCATATTGCAACTGCATTTAGTACTAGTTAGACATTTCCTAACAAGGTAGTCATGCTGCCCGACATGTTGAACAACGCTAGCCTTGATGAGGTCCTTACGCTCTAGGGGTTGTTGTTTGTAGCGTGATTTTCTTAGGGTCAAGCAACCTGGCTTTCAGCCTACCTCAGGTCAATACACCCTTCTACCATTTGCTACTATGATGAGCAGAAGTAGGATAGTGTATGAGGGTCAAAAGCGTTTCCTGTTAAGGCGTGAGGGATTTGTGATAGAGAAGCACGGGTTGTGTTTTCTGAACCGAGGGAATAGTGCAACAATCCTAGCCTTGATAAGTCTATTATGAAATCCCCCAAAGGGAGATCTCACTCTTGGAATCTCCCTTGGGGTTCCTTTAGGGCAGGGTTTCCCAAACCTCTCCTCGGGCCCCTCCAGACGTTTCACATTTTTGTATGGTAGTCTGTTTCATTACTATATAGGGCAGAGAGGGCCGACTCTGGTTAACTGTATGGTAGTCTGTTTCATTACATTAGCTGTACATCAAGTGGATAGGAAAGACATTTCCTTAATTAATTCTGACAGACAAAGCACAATACTGCATCAATTAGTATAACATTTATTTCATATATTTCAAAGATTTCCAACTTTTACTTACAATATTTACATTATGCACAGGATGTGTGCGTGTACAGGGCATTGTTACAGCTCTGTGTGGAAGTGAGATACATTCAAAGATTTTAGAGCTGAAACGTTTGGCTACTACCGCCTCTAAACATATTCAGAAAAATAACTTTTTTTTAAAAACCAAGGCGACAGTAAACATGTCGCCCCCTATGAATGACGCAGCGCCCCTCCTTGGGCCAAATCAGTGTCATTTTGTAAATGCCATATCTCTATGGCAACATTCACCAAAGTTTCATCAAAATAACTGAAGTTGGACTAGTCTCGTCTCTCCCACTTTTGGCACACAAGATGTCCACTAGCTCTGGTCCTGGGCACTAGACCGTTCCTCTAAACAGGACCAGTGCTAGATGTCCACTAGCTCTGGTCCTGGGCACTAGACCGTTCCTCTAAACAGGACCAGTGCTAGATGTCCACTAGCTCTGGTCCTGGGCACTAGACCGTTCCTCTAAACAGGACCAGTGCTAGATGACCACTAGAGAGACTTTAAACATTTAGTCCATTATGAAGGCGCTGTTCAACAGGTATTATAATAATCCTGTAAATATATAACCGTATGTATAACATAACTGTGTTAATACACTGAACAAAAAACATAAACTCAACATGTAAACTGTTGGTCCCATGTTTCATGAGCTGAAATGAAAAGATCCCAGAAAATGTCCGTATGCTCAAAAAGTGTCTCTCAAATTTTGTGCACAAATTTGTTTACATCCCTGTTTAGTGAGCATTTCTCCTTTGCCAAGATGATCCATCCACCTGACAGGTGTGGCATATCAAGAAGCTGATTAAACAACGTAATCATTATACAGGTCCACCTTGTGCTGGGGACAATAAAATATAACTCTAAAATGTGCAGTTTTGTCACATAACCCAATGCCACACGTCTCAAGTTAAGGGAGCGTGCAATTGGCATGCTAACTGCAGGAATGTCCACCAGAGTTGTTGCCAGATAATTGAATGTTAATTTCTCTACCGTAACTTTAAAGAATTTGGCAGTACGTCCAACCGGCTTGACAACCGCAGACCACGCAGGCCCAGGACCTCCACATCCGGCTTCTTCACCTGCGGGATCGTCTGACACCAGACAGCTGATGAAACTGTGGGTTTGCACAACCGAAGAATATCCCCACAAACTGTCAGAAACAGTCTCAGGGAAGCTCATCTGCGTGCTCGTCGTCCTCACCAGGGTCTTGGCCTGACTGCAGTTCGGCGTCGTAACCGACTTCAAGTGGGAAAATGCTCACCTTTGATGGCCACTGGCACGCTGGAAAAGTGTGCTCTTCATGGATGAATCCCGGTTTCAACTGTACCGGGCAGATGGCAGACAGCATGTATGGCTTCATGAGGGCGATCGGTTTGCTGATGTCAACGTTGTGAACAGAGTGCCCCATGGTAGCAGTGGGGTTATGGTATGGGCTGGCATAAGCTATGGACAACAAACACAATTGCATTTTATCGATGGCAATTTGAATGCACAGAGATACCCTGACGAGATCCTGAGGCCCATTGTCATGCCATTCATCCACCTCCATCACCTCATGTTTCAGCATTATAATGCACGGCTCCATGTCGCAAGGATCTGTACACAATTCCTGGAAGCTGAAAATGTCCCAGTTCTTCCATGGCCTGCATACTCACCAGACATGTCACCCATTGAGCATGTTTGGGATGCTCTGGAATCGACGTGTACGACAGTGTGTGTAATGAATATTCAGGGAGAAAATGGTGTAGATTCAGGCGCAGAGCGCGGCAGGAGTTTATTTCACCTTCGCAGAAGGCAGGAATCGTGGTCACAGGCAGGCAATGGTCATACACAGGTAGGCAAACAGGCCTGAAAAAACTAGGACTGAAGGCTATAACTGGTTCTCACAAACGAGTTAGGAAAAAAGGCTTGGTAGAGTCAAAATGAACAATACCTCACAAGGCACAAACAGAAAGAACTGTCTCCCATTGAGCACGTTTGGCATGCTATGGATCGACGTGTACGACAGCGTGTTCCAGTTCCCGCCAATATCAAGCAACTTCGCACAGCCATTGAAGAGTGGGACAACATTCCACAGGCCACAATCAACAGCCTGATCAACTCTATGCGATCAAGGAGATATCTCACGCTGCATGAGGAAAATGGTGGTACACCAAATACTGTGACCAACAGTTGCATATCTGTATTCCCAGTCATGTGAAATCCATAGATTAGGGCCTAATACATTTCTTATATGAACTGTAATTTACCATTACATTTTTTAAATTAACTTTCAATCTTTAAATTGTTGCATTTGTATTTTTGTTCAGTGTATATTCCATATCTGGTGAAGACATGAAATGTAGGATGATCTTTTCCATGGGACAGCGATGTACAGGCCTAGTCCAGTGTTTTTCTCTGTAGGTCAACTGACATCCTGTGGCCACTTTCAATATAATAACACACAAACTAAGAGAGACTTCACAATACAGGCAATTCACTCCACACCCCGTTTTCCAATACTTTGACTTGCTTCTCTTTTTCGGGGACCAAAAAAAAACCCCAACATGCATTTAAAAAAAAGAGACGACTGATAATTTACCATTACATTTTTTTAAAATTAACTTTCCAATTAAAGGTTTTGAGCTCAATACACACATGGAGGTCAGAACTTTGTAGATTGGTTAGATTGCACTTGAACATTCTACTGCTCTAGAACGGTGTCTAAAGTCATTTGGAAGTTATACCTACAATAGATAGTCCTGATAGCAATTGTCAACATTTGCAACATACACCAACAATGTTACACAACAGTACACATCACAAGGTTTTGTGCAACATTCACAGACAACAAAAAGGTCTGAAATGGCACTTCAAAGAGTCCCCATAGAGCACGCTACTTTTATGCCATTAAAGTGTAGTGCGCTAGGAAATAGGTTGCCTTTTGACATTTGACAGAGTGGGTGACGTCTGTTGGGGAAAATGTGTCATAGCTGAAGTGGGCGTCCGTCATATGCTTCCTTTGCCATGGGGTAAGATATGCTGTTGTCGTTCCTTGCCAAACTGCAGTTTTATCAGACGTTTTTTTTTCTGTTTTGTCCTCTGTTATGTAAGTGAACCTTTTAAGTTCAGAGACCTGAAGCAGCAGCAGTGTGATTGGATGGGCGCAGTATCTCCCTCATCGTGATAGGTCCAGCCCCCCCCCCCTCATTAGCCACACCCAGTGCAAGCAACAATCCGTCACCCCATAGATCCACGAGTGTTCTAGAACCTAACCATGTTGGTTAGTTCTGTGGGGTTGGTTTCTGAGTCGGACTCATTTCCCCTGTGGGAACAGAACAGAGAGACCAGGGGTTACTCACACAGACGAGCAGTCCATACATCCGAACAGTTCACAACAAATGTACTTTATGAATAGCCTGGGTGGCAAGGAGTGGAAAAGCAGCACAAACAGACTGGCACCCAGGCTACTTTATGAGTAAAAGGTTCGTATAGACAGTGGCAAGTCAAATTCAAGGTCTTTCAAGTACTTTTTCAAGCACTAATATTTATTTTCAACGACCATCAAATTTGTAATAGTTCCTATTATGCAATTGTTTCTAGTTGCCACCAGATGGCAGTACATCACCACAACCTCAAAACAACTAACTTACAATTCATCACTACCTTACAAGTTCTACTCAATAATACGTTGATTCACTACTGATTTAATATATCCATGAGTGGTAAGTCAGGACTGATGATGTCGTTTGAGTAGCGATGAGCAGAGTTTGGGGACATGCCTACTGGTGAAAAATATTTCCTATTCTCGTTACTACACAATTCCAGCTTAATGACTGTTTTATTGGGCATTTGGGAATCTACTGCTTAATAGCTACGAAAAAGCGCCTTGCTTCCGACTGGCAGCATTAGGGTGTGTTCGTAAATTGCCTCCAGTGTGTCAGAGTACGCTCTGGGTCATTAGTAAATTCAGAGCGTTTCGCTCTCGGAGCGCGTTCTGGCCGAGGAGTAGGGTTGATCTGAGCGTTCTGACCGCAAAGGCAGTCAAGCACCCAAGCTAACTGGCTAACGTTGGCTAGCTACGTCCAGACACAAATGAGAGAACAGCTCACTGACCATTTTACTCACCCTAGCAGGCTGTTTTCATGTTATCTAGAACATTAGTGACCAACTGTGCTTCTGGCAACAATTTAATAATGTTTTTTTTTTGCTGACGTTTACTGACACCAGCCATATTCGACGGGAGTTGAGCGTTCGTAAAGTCATCCGTTATTCTGCGCTCTGGCACACTCGGACAAGAGTGCTCTGAAATCGGAGTAGATAGCCAGAGTGAATTTACGAACACACTCTTCGTGTCGCCGGTCGGGAGAAGGGCGGGTGAGCTGTGTGAGGAACGGCCACCAGAACGGCAGGAGCACAGCTAAAGCTAAAGGTGATTGGCAAAAAAGCTCTGGAGGTTGTTGCAGAGAAAAAAAGTCACAATTTAGAAAAGGCTCTTCAGGGCAGATTCATCCATGCTCACAATGTCAAAGTCTGACGTATTTGTGGCACCTTACACGGTGTGGGTCCAGTGATGAACAACAATATAAAAGTGTTTCATGAGCCGAAATAAAAGATTCACAAAATTTTCCATACGCACAAAAGGCAGGGTTGAATCTACATTTGCCTGGCGTTTTAGCTATCGATGTGACGTTTGACGGCGCCTAATCAGTCAGATCTGTATCTGTCTGGCTGACTGGCAGTGTGGGTGGAATGAGCGAGCTCGCCTGGCAACAAGAGCGCGGAACACGTGAGGAAATAAAACTATGTAGTCTGCCTGGAAATTAATTTGCAAGACCCAATACATTTTTCAAATATTTTTCATAAACATATTTGATCATTTTCTGTTCTCCTCTCATTTTAATTCAAGTACTTTTCAAGTACCAACTTGAGAAAATGTCTGATTTTCAAGGTATTCCAGTACTTGAATTACAGAGTGCCAAATCCATGTTCTTTAAGCATCTTGTGCGAACCCTGTGAGTACTTCTGAAGGCAACCCTGTGAGTACTTCTGAAGGCCATAAGGGATCTTTATAATGGTACACAATTTGGCGATATTTCCAGGTCTATGCCTACTATATATCTATCCAATCCTGTCAGATATACAGGAAATGCTTGGCCCAGTTCCCCAGTCAGACACGCCAGTCTTACCGTTGCTCCTGCAGCAGCTTCCTGTTGCCCTGCCTCCTCTCTTCGTCGATTGGATAAGAGTGGAATATGACCAGGCCAATCAGAATGAGTCCTATGGGCCCCGCGGAGACCAGAACCTTCAGGGTTATATCCACGTTCTCAGGCTGGGTGCAACCTCGAGTCATATACCCAGCAAAACTACAGATGGAGGGAAGGAGAGAGAGGAAATGATGAGGTTAGAATGAATCTAGCCACAGGACTTTGATCAAAGTGGTAACAAAGAAGTTCATGTGACACACACACACACACACACACACACACACACACACACACACACACACACACACACACACACACACACACACACACACACACACACACACACACACACACACACACACACACACACACACACACACACACACACACACACACACACACACACACACACACACACACACACACACACACACACACACACACTAATTCAGATGAAGGAGGAATCCTGTGCTTTGAAGTGGGATTTGGCTTATCCTCATGTTTTTTACTTGGCCACACTGGGAAAATAAGACTTCCTGACCTATGATATCTTATGATTATGTACAGTGCGACGGGGCCGAGGGCCAGAGCGTCTGTCTGCTGATGAAGCGTAAACTTACTCCAAGCTGAGAGTAGAGATCCCCAGGGAGATTCCAGAGGCAAACTTGGTGAAGAAGACATAGAAGGAATAGAAGATGGCCTCGTGGCCCTGAGAGTCTGGGTTCCTGACCTGGAAGTCATCCACCACGTCTGGCAGCATGGACCTAGAGACGGAGACAGAGAAATTAGTGTCCACACAACCAGTGACTCAAAACATACGAGAGAGTGAATAAAATGGAGTAAGGGGAAATAGAGAGGAAAACAGAAAGAGATGAAGGGGACAGACAGCTACTCCAACTCACCATGGCAACAGGAAGGCAGCAGCGACTCCGACCCCGGCAGCGAACGACACGATGTAGGTAATTATGAGATTCTTCTCCACACACACCACCAGGATCACAAAGGGGATCACAGACTGCAGAGAGGACAGAAACCCCTTATTATAACACCACCAGGATCACGAAGGGGATCACAGACTGCAGAGAGGACAGAACCCCCTTATTATAACACCACCAGGATCACGAAGGGGATCGCAGACTGCAGAGAGGACAGAAACCCCTTATTATAACACCACCAGGATCACAAAGGGGATCACAGACTGCAGAGAGGACATAAACCCCTTATTATAACACCACCAGGATCATGAAGGGGATCACAGACTGCAGAGAGGACAGAACCCCCTTATTATAACACCACCAGGATCACGAAGGGGATCACAGACTGCAGAGAGGACAGAACCCCCTTATTATAACACCACCAGGATCATGAAGGGGATCACAGACTGCAGAGAGGACAGAACCCCCTTATTATAACACCACCAGGATCACAAAGGGGATCACAGACTGCAGAGAGGACAGAACCCCCTAATTATAACACCACCAGGATCACGAAGGGGATCACAGACTGCAGAGAGGACAGAACCCCCTTATTATAACACCACCAGGATCACGAAGGGGATCACAGACTGCAGAGAGGACAGAACCCCCTTATTATAACACCACCAGGATCATGAAGGGATCACAGACTGCAGAGAGGACAGAACCCCCTTATTATAACACCACCAGGATCACGAAGGGGATCACAGACTGCAGAGAGGACAGAACCCCCCTTATTATAACACCACCAGGATCACGAAGGGGATCACAGACTGCAGAGAGGACAGAACCCCCTTATTATAACATCACCAGGATCATGAAGGGGATCACAGACTGCAGAGAGGACAGAACCCCCTTATTATAACACCACCAGGATCACGAAGGGGATCAGAGACTGCAGAGAGGACAGAACCCCCTTATTATAACACCACCAGGATCATGAAGGGGATCACAGACTGCAGAGAGGACAGAACCCCCTTATTAAACACCACCAGGATCATAAAGGGGATCACAGACTGCAGAGAGGAGAGAAACCCCTTATTATAACACCACCAGGATCATGAAGGGGATCACAGACTGCAGAGAGGACAGAACCCCCTTATTATAACACCACCAGGATCACAAAGGGGATCACAGACTGCAGAGGACAGAACCCCCTAATTATAACACCACCAGGATCATGAAGGGGATCACAGACTGCAGAGAGGACAGAACCCCCTTATTATAACATCACCAGGATCATGAAGGGGATCACAGACTGCAGAGAGGAGAGAACCCCCTTATTATAACATCACCAGGATCATGAAGGGGATCACAGACTGCAGAGAGGAGAGAAACCCCTTATTATAACACCACCAGGATCATGAAGGGGATCACAGACTGCAGAGAGGACAGAACCCCCTTATTATAACACCACCAGGATCACAAAGGGGATCACAGACTGCAGAGGACAGAACCCCCTAATTATAACACCACCAGGATCATGAAGGGGATCACAGACTGCAGAGAGGACAGAACCCCCTTATTATAACACCACCAGGATCATGAAGGGGATCACAGACTGCAGAGAGGAGAGAAACCCCTTATTATAACACCACCAGGATCATGAAGGGATCACAGACTGCAGAGAGGACAGAACCCCCTTATTATAACACCACCAGGATCACAAAGGGGATCACAGACTGCAGAGGACAGAACCCCCTAATTATAACACCACCAGGATCATGAAGGGGATCACAGACTGCAGAGAGGACAGAACCCCCTTATTATAACACCACCAGGATCACAAAGGGGATCACAGACTGCAGAGGACAGAACCCCCTAATTATAACACCACCAGGATCATGAAGGGGATCACAGACTGCAGAGAGGACAGAACCCCCTTATTATAACACCACCAGGATCATGAAGGGGATCACAGACTGCAGAGAGGAGAGAAACCCCTTATTATAACACCACCAGGATCATGAAGGGGATCACAGACTGCAGAGAGGACAGAACCCCCTTATTATAACACCACCAGGATCACAAAGGGGATCACAGACTGCAGAGGACAGAACCCCCTAATTATAACACCACCAGGATCATGAAGGGGATCACAGACTGCAGAGAGGACAGAACCCCCTTATTATAACATCACCAGGATCATGAAGGGGATCACAGACTGCAGAGAGGAGAGAACCCCCTTATTATAACACCACCAGGATCATGAAGGGGATCACAGACTGCAGAGAGGAGAGAACCCCCTTATTATAACACCACCAGGATCATGAAGGGGATCACAGACTGCAGAGAGGAGAGAAACCACTCATCACCAATTATGTACACAGAGTATCCATCACATTAAGGACACCTGCTCTTTCCGTGACCAGGTGACTGACCAGGTGACTGACCAGGTGACTGACCAGGTGACTGTCCAGGTGACTGACCAGGTGACTGACCAGGTGACTGACCAGGTGACTGACCATGTGACTGACCAGGTGACTGACCAGGTGACTGACCAGGTGACTGACCAGGTGAAAGCTATGATCCCTTCTTGATGTCACCTGTTAAATCCACTTAAAATCAGTGTAGATGAATGGGAGGAGACCGGTTAAAGAAGGATTTTTAAACCTCGAGACAATTGAGACATGGATTGTGTATGTGTGCCATTCAGAAGGTGAATGGGCAAGACAAAATATTTAAGTGCATTTGATCGGGGTATGGCAGTAGGTGCCAGGCGCACCGGTTTGAGTGTGTCAAGACCTGCAACTCTACTGGGTTTTTCCACGCTCAACAGTTTCCTGTGTGTATCAAGAATGGTCCACCACCCAAAGGACATCCAGCCAACTTGACACAACTGTGGAAAGCATTGGAGTCAACATGGGCCGGCATCCCTGTGGAACGATTTCGACACCTTGTAGAGTCCATGCCCCGATGAATTGAGGATGTTCTGAGGGCAAAGGGGGTGCTACTCAATATGAGGAATGTGTTCCTAATGTTTTGTACACTCAGTGTCTATAAACCCTGGGTTGCTGATGCTATGTATAGGCCATTGAGAGGCTTTGAAGCCACAGGTCGGCCATATTCCCCAGTAGGAGCAGTCCTCCATAGGAATGAATACATTTCTATAGCTTCCAAAATATTTTTTACAATGGTGGGGGATGGAGGTACGGTGATTTCAAAACAGCACCCGCTATCAGTCATCTAGTGTATAAATAAAATCAGTGGTAGTAACCCGTTACATGTACCTAAGTCAATTTTTGTAGGAACTAGTACTGTTCCAGTTACTCTCTGTGGGCCGTACTGTCTGGAGGAACTAGTACTGTTCTAGTTACTCTCTGTGGGCTCTACTGTCTGGAGGAACTAGTACTGTTCTAGTTACTCTCTGTGGGCTGTATTGTCTGGAGGAACTAGTACTGTTCTAGTTACTCTCTGTGGGCTGTACTGTCTGGAGGAACTAGTACTGTTCTAGTTACTCTCTGTGGGCTGTACTGTCTGGAGGAACTAGTACTGTTTCTAGTTACTCTCTGTGGGCTGTACTGTCTGGAGGAACTAGTACTGTTCTAGTTACTCTCTGTGGGCTGTACTGTCTGGAGGAACTAGTACTGTTCTAGTTACTCTCTGTGGGCTGTACTGTCTGGAGGAACTAGTACTGTTCTAGTTACTCTCTGTGGGCTGTACTGTCTGGAGGAACTAGTACTGTTCTAGTTACTCTCTGTGGGCTGTACTGTCTGGAGGAACTAGTACTGTTCTAGTTACTCTCTGTGGGCTGTACTGTCTGGAGGAACTAGTACTTGTTCTAGTTACTCTCTGTGGGCTGTTACTGTCTGGAGGAACTAGTACTGTTCTAGTTACTCTCTGTGGGCTGTACTGGTCTGGAGGAACTAGTACTGTTCTAGTTACTCTCTGGGGGCTGTACTGTCGGAGGAACTAGTACTGTTCTAGTTACTCTCTGTGGGCTGTACTGTCTGGAGGAACTAGTACTGTTTAGTTACTCTCTGTGGGCTTACTGTCTGGAGGAAACTAGTACTGTTCTAGTTACTCTCTGTGGGCTGTACTGTCTGGAGGAAACTAGTACTGTTCTAGTTACTCTCTGTGGGCTGTACTGTCTGGAGGAACTAGTACTGTTCTAGTTACTCTCTGTGGGCTGTACTGTCTGGAGGAACTAGTACTGTTTCTAGTTACTCTCTGTGGGCTGTACTGTCTGGAGGAACTAGTACGGTTCTAGTTACTCTCTGTGGGCCTTGTGTTTACTGTTCTGGAGGAAACTAGTACTGTTCTAGTTACTCTCTGTGGGGCCGTACTGTCAGGAGGAACTAGTACTGTTCTAGTTACTCTCTGTGGGCTGTACTGTCTGGAGGAACTAGTACTGTTCTAGTTACTCTCTGTGGGCTGTACTGTCTGGAGGAAACTAGTACTGTTCTAGTTACTCTCTGTGGGGCCGTACTGTCGGAGGACTAGTACTTTCTAGTTACTCTCTGTGGGCTGTACTGTCTGGAGAACTAGTACTGTTCTAGTTACTCTCTGTGGGCTTGTACTGTCTGGAGGAACTAGTACTGTTCTAGTTACTCTCTGTGGGCTGTACTGTCTGGAGGAACTAGTACTGTTCTAGTTACTCTCTGTGGGCTGTACGGTCTGGAGGAACTAGTACTGTGTCTAGTTACTCTCTGTGGGCCGTACTGTCAGGAGGAACTAGTACTGTTCTAGTTACTCTCTGTGGGCCTGTACTGTCTGGAGGAACTAGTACTGTTCTAGTTACTCTCTGTGGGCTGTACTGTCTGGAGGAACTAGTACTGTTTCTAGTTACTCTCTGTTGGGCCGTACTGTCAGGAGGAACTAGTACTGTTCTAGTTACTCTCTGTGGGCTGTACTGTCTGGAGGAACTAGTACTGTTCTAGTTACTCTCTGTGGGCTGTACTGTCTGGAGGAACTAGTACTGTTCTAGTTACTCTCTGTGGGCTGTACTGTCTGGAGGAACTAGTACTGTTCTAGTTACTCTCTGTGGGCCGTACTGTCTGGAGGAACTAGTACTGTTCTAGTTACTCTCTGTGGGCTGTACTGTCTGGAGGAACTAGTACTGTTCTAGTTACTCTCTGTGGGCCGTACTGTCTGGAGGAACTAGTACTGTTCTAGTTACTCTCTGTGGGCCGTACTGTCTGGAGGAACTAGTACTGTTCTAGTTACTCTCTGTGGGCCGTACTGTCTGGAGGAACTAGTACTGTTCTAGTTACTCTCTGTGGGCTGTACTGTCTGGAGGAACTAGCCTCAGAAATTACAGCCCAAATAAATGCTTCACATAGTTCAAGTAAAAGACACCTCTCAACATCAACTGTTCAGAGGAGACTGTGTGAATCAGGCCTTCATGGTCGAATTGCTGCACAGAAACCACTACTAAAAAGACACCAATAAGAAGAAGAGACTTGCTTGGGCCAAGAAACACGAGCAATGGACATTAGACCGGTGGAAATGTGTCCTTTGGTCTGGAGTCCAAATTTGAGATTTTTGGTACAAACGCCGTGGCTTTGCGAGACGTGGTGTGGATGAACGGATGATCTCCGCATGTGTAGTTCCCACCATCAAGCATAGAGGAGGAGGTGTTATGGCGTGGGGGTGCTTTACTGGTGACACTGTCTGTGATTTATTTAGAATTCAAGGCACACTTAACCAGCATGGCTACCACAGCATTCTGCAGCGATATGTCATCCCATCTGGTTTGGGCTTAGTGGGACTATCATTTGTTTTCCAACAGGACAATGACCCAACACACCTCCAGGCTGTGTAAGGGCTATTTTACCAAAAAGGAGAGTGATGGAGTGCTGCATCAGATGACCTGCCCTCCACAATCCCCCGACCTCAACCCAATTGTGATGGTTTGGGATGAGTCGGACCGCAGAGTAAAGGAAAAGCAGCTAACAAGTGCTCAGCATATGTGGGAACTCCTTCAAGACTGTTGGAAAAGCATTCCAGGTGAAGCTGGTTGAGAGAATGCCAAGAGTGTGCAAAGCTGTCATCCATGCAAAGGGTGGCTATTTGAAGAATCTCAAATATAAAATATACTTTTTTGGTTACTGCACGATTCCATATGTGTTATTTCATAGTTTTGATGTCTTCACTATTATTCTACAATGTAGAAAATAGTACAAATAAAGAAAAACCCTTGAATGAGTAGGTGTGTCCAACGTTTTGACTGGTACTGTATTTATATTACTACAGTATATCGTCACTGTCAGATGAAAACCTTGTCACTGTAAACGCGATATCTTCACTATTATTCTACAATGTGGTGACACTGAAGTTGCCTTCAGTGTCACCACATCCGAGGCCCTGGCCCAATAAAGCATGTCTCCATGGGCTAAGGCGTGTGTGTGTGATCATTCTGAGGGTCTGCTAAGTCTTACAGAGGTGCCGATGTACACGGCTGTCTTCTTGCCAAACTTGGTGAGGAACCACTGCCAGAAGGGGATGGTGAGCATCGCTGCGAGCTGGAGAGAAAAGAAGAGAGAGAGTTTAGTTTAGTCAATACTTAATATAGAAATGGTTTTGTTTGCTATAGTTTAGTATGCATGTTTTTGTTGCTTTTTTTTTCTGCAATGACCTGGCCAGGGTTCCAGTCCGTTTCTACTTTAGCCAACGCGTAAAGAGAAGGGCTGAGTCTGAAATGAAACCCTATTCCCTGTGTGGTGCACTACTTTTGAACAGGGAACATATGGATTATATAAGGAATAGGGTGCCATTCTCTGGTCTAAAGTAGTGCACTATATAGGGAATAGGGTGCCATTCTCTGGTCTAAAGTAGTGCACTATATAGGGAATAGGGTGCCATTCTCTGGTCTAAAGTAGTGCACTATATAAGGAATAGGGTGCCATTCTCTGGTCTAAAGTAGTGCACTATATAGGGAATAGGGTGCCATTCTCTGGTCTAAAGTAGTGCACTATATAGGGAATAGGGTGCCATTCTCTGGTCTAAAGTAGTGCACTATATAGGGAATAGGGTGCCATTCTCTGGTCTAAAGTAGTGCACTATATAGGGAATAGGGTGCCATTCTCTGGTCTAAAGTAGTGCACTATATAGGGAATAGGGTGCCATTCTCTGGTCTAAAGTAGTGCACTATATAGGGAATAGGGTACCATTCTCTGGTCTAAAGTAGTGCACTATATAGGGAATAGGGTGCCATTTGGGATGCAGACGTTATGTAATGTTCAGTCTCTGGAACGCATTATGTGGCAGGACTGCAGAAACTGTCTGGTTTGTGTTTGGGATTTACCAGCCTTCCTAAATGAAGTCATTCTCAACCTCTCTAATGCCCGATGACTCAATCTGAATTATTCCGCTGATCTACGTTCACTACAGACACCACCACCTTCCGGAGACATTTGAAACCCCACCTCTTTAAGGAATACCTGGGATAGGATAAAGTAATCCTTCTGGATAAGAGCGTCTGCTAAATGACGTAAAATGTAAAACGTTGAAGTTGTTTTACGTTGACTTCAAAATGAGTGTTGTTGTAGCTACAAAACAAAGTCATCAGCGATTGGATCATCTGTAACCAAATCGGTATCAAAGCCAATGGGCACGGAGTAGCGTTTCACCGGGTAGTCAGGCAACCTATCACAACACAGCAGCGGTAATACAGCAGCAATTACAGGATGCTTCATAAAACATTCCAGTGGACGTTAATAGGGACTTTATTGCATCACCATCTGACCCTAGATAGCCTGGGATAGATCAGATTGACCTCTGACTTTATGGTTTACATTTTAGTCATTTAGCAGACGCTCTTATCCAGAGCGACTTACAGTTAGTGAGTGCATACATTATATATATATTTTTTTTCATACTGCCCCCCCCGTGGGAATCGAACCCACAACCCTGGCGTTGCAAACGCCATGCTCTACCAACAAATCCGCTGCCGGCCATTCCCTCCCCTACCCTGGACGACGCTGGGCCAATTGTGCGCCGCCCCATGGGTCTCCCGGTCGCGGCCGGCTACGACAGAGCCTGGATTCGAACCAGGATCTCTAGTGGCACAGCTAGCACTGCGATGCAGTGCCTTAGACCACTGCGCCACCAGAACGGCTGCCGCTTGATAAAGCGGAATATCTCGGGTGCCCCGTGAAAAAAGCTCTGCAGGTTGTTAGAGAAAAAGTCACAATGTAGAACTGGCACCAGCACAGGATTCAGCGTTGTGTCTTTCCCCTTCATGGGGCTCTTCAGGGCCGATTCTCCCATGCTGCAATGTCAAAGTCTGATGCATTTTTGCACCTTACACAGTGTGGGTTTAGCCAATAAAAAGGTCAAACATTGACCCCTATGGGCGCCACTGGGATGGCAGTAGTTTTCCTTATTTTTGGATGCATTTGTATATGATTAATTTAACATTGTGTGTGTTGTAGGCGTTAATACTGCAAAGGAAGTACTGAGCATAGAGGTACATTTCCCTAAACCTGCTCTAATAAATCCAGCAATCTCAGGCATCTGAGTAATTTCACTTTGTCTGTCTGTGTCATCTTTCTGGTGCATCATCTTTCTGGTGCATCATCTTTCTGGTGCATCATCATCTTTCTGGTGCATCATCTTTCTAGTGCATTATCTGTGTGTGGACTGCATCTGCTAAACATCTTCACAATGCTTGTTCTGCTTCCTGGCAATACCACATCAAGGTAATCTGGCAATACCATATCAAGGTAATCTGGCAATACCACATCAAGGTAATGTGCATCTGCTTTCGCCTGAACTGTCTGCACCCCACTGCCTGTCAAGTCTCTCTCCTTCCAGCATCAAAACATTTGCATAGTCTACAAAAATTATTTCTGTGTGAATAGACCATGTCCTTAACACAATAGCAGGGTTCGTACAGACAGTGGCAAGTCAAATTCAAGGTGTTTCAAGTACTTTTTCAAGCACTAATATTTATTTTCAACGACCATCAAATTTGTAATAGTTCCTATTATGCAATTGTTTCTAGTCGCCACCAGATGGCAGTACATCACCACAACCTCAAAACGACTAACTTACAATTCATCACTACCTTACAAGTTCTACTCAATAATATGTTGATTCACTACTGATTTAATATATCCATGAGTGGTAAGTCAGGACTGATGATGTCGTTTGAGTAGCGATGAGCAGAGTTTGGGGACGTGCCTACTGGTGAAAAATATTTCCTATTCTCGTTACTACACAATTCCAGCTTAATGACTGTATTGTATTTTTATTGGGCATTTGGGAATCTACTACTTAATAGCTACGAAAAAGGGTCTTGCTTCCGACTGGCAGCTTCAGTGTCGCCAGTTGACTCCTCGGTTCCTCGGTCCTTCCTCTGACTTGGGGACATGGTCTCGTTTGTCTAAACCCCCCCCCTCGGTCCTTCCTCTGCCTTGGGGACAAGGTCTCGTTGTCTAAACCCCCCCCTCGGTCCTTCCTCTGCCTTGGGGACAAGGTCTAGTTTGTCTAACCATAACTCTAACTCCTAAAAGTAATTCTACTAGAAACCAGGACTAAAATCTTACATAAAGGAAAGGATATTAACACAGTAATCTTTTCCCTTTTATTTATTGAATTAGCACGAAGACTAGTGGGTGAGTTTCCCCTAGTTCACAGTAAAGTCCTGTGTCTGACTGCCACACTCACTAATTACATTCCCGTTAGGATTGAAAGAGTTCATGAAGTCCTTTAAATCAATATGACTGAGGAGAGGGATGAAGGTATGTCAGCAACGCTAGTTCCCCCATTTACTGTATATTTATAAGAGCGAAAGGGGCATCCGAGTCTTTACAGCAGTGGTAAATGTCTGTGGGAACAGGCTGGTATTCAGACCAGGCCAGTGAATGTGATCACAGGTCAAAGTAATGAGCAGCTACAGGTCACTGGCTACCAGAGAGACTGACTTGGCAACAACCTGAGAGAGGCAGCTGTTTTGTATAGAAAACCTCCTGAGAGAGAGAGAGAGAGAGAGAGAGAGAGAGAGAGAGGCCTGTGTTTTGAATAGAAAACCCATCCCTGCAGGAGAGAGAGAGAGAGAGAGAAGGAGATATAGGAATGACGAGATCAGATACGGCAGGACAGAGAGCTTATATATCTGCTCTATCTTCTCTCGAGATCTGCCTCTCTATACATACCTTATCGATCCCCTATCCCTGATCAGTACATATCGTATATCATATATATATACAATATATTCCCCCTTTTCCTTTTTATATAAACCCAAACACCCTCCTGAACCTGTTCTCTAGTTGTTCGTCAAGGTTACACTATCAATAGAGGTCAGTAAGTGACGTAGGAAGAGTGTCAATCTGGCTGTATCAAATATATAAACGGACAAGGTCATTCACACTGTGTGTGTCCTCACCATGATGACCAGTAGAATGTTCTGGAAGTCGTTCCTGAAGCCCGAGTGTAAGCACCAAAGCAATGCAGAACCAGAGCAAGTTCCCTTCCAGGAGCTGAGAGAGAAGAAACCCAGACACGCTCAGTTAGACCCTACACACATACACCTCACACCGCTGGCTGGAGACTCTAAACATTAATACGAGGAGCGGCGTACCCCAGAAACCATATAAATAAAACACACCACACACAGAAGGAGCAGAGCTGACTGGCGGCAGACAGCCTATCCAAGCATTAGAGTATATTGAATGTTAGCTTTATGGTTGGGCTGACTTTACTGTGGATGAGATGATGGTCACAGACTAGGATATTATTATTACTATACACCAGATGACTTTTATATAAGACGCATGTCCGTTTTCTACCATTAAGTGGATACCAATGGTGCTGTGAACAGTCTTTGGTGTATGTGTGAGTGATAGCTGGCATGTGTGGATATAAAACCTTTGTGTGTAATATGAATCACTGATCAATCAATCAAATGCATGCGTATGTATGTAACGCAAAAAAAGTTGTATCCTGAGTGATTTGGGGTGGTGGAGTGATGAGTGAGTGGTGAGTAGTGAGCTTGAAATTTAGAACTTGAGGTGAAAAACATAGTATTGCACCTCTTAAAATTGTGGAGGGGGCTACTTCCCCCACACCCGTTGCTGAGGGGTGTAAAAAAAATCATCCATCAATCTCCATAAAAAATAAATAAATAAGAGAGACAGATGGAAAGGGGGGAAGTGCGAAGAGAAAGGGGGGCGAGAGAGGAAGGGGGCGGAGAAAAGAAGGGGGGGGGGAGAAAAAGGGGGGGGGGAAGAGAAAAGGGAGAATTTGAGGGCAAGAAAAGGCGAGGAGAGGGTTTTTTTGGTTTTGATTTTTTTTGGGCGGGAAGGGAAAGTTAAAAAAGGGTTTCAAAAATTTTCCCCCAAAAGGGGTTTTTTTTTTTTTTTTTGGGGGGGAGGGCAATCCAAAACAAGGGGAAAACTTAATATTTCAAAAAAAAATTTTTAAAAGGGTAAGGGGGGGGAAAAATTTTTTGGGCGCAAGAAAATTTCTTTAAAAATTTTAATAAAACCCTAATTTTTTTTTAAAATTTTCCCCCTTTTTTGCTTTTTCCCCCCAAAAATTTTTTTTTCTCTTTTTTTTTCTAAAAACCCCCCCCCAAAAATTTAAAAATAATCAAAAAAAGGGGCCTAAGAAAAAAAAAAAAATTTTCCAAAAAAGGGCAAAAAATTTTTTCCCCCCCCCCTTTAAAAAATTTTTTAAAAACCCAAAATTTTACAAAAATTTTTTTTTCCCTTTTTAAACCCGTTTTTAAAAATTTTTTTAAAAAATTTTTTTTAAAAAGCCCCCCTCTTTTTTTTCCCCCCAAAAAAATTTTTTTTGTTTTTCTGGTTTTTGTCCCCTCGTTTTTCCTTTTGCCCCTGCCCCGCTGTCCCTTTTTTTGGTGGTTTTTTTTTGAACAGTAAAGAGGAAAAAAAATGTTTTCAATGATTTGCATTTTAATGAGGAAATAATGGCTAGGCCACTCCAGGACCTTAATTGGCTTCTTCTTGAGCCACTCCTGTTGTTGCCTTGGCCGTGTGTTTTGGGTCATTGCCATGCTGGAATACCCATCCACGACCCATTTTCAATGCCCTGGCTGAGGGAAGGAGGTTCTCACCCAAGATTTGACGGTACAATGGCCCCGTCCATCGTCCCTTTGATGCGGTGAAGTTGTCCTGTTCCCTTAGCAGAAAAACACCCCCAAAGCATAATGTTTCCACCTCCATGTTTGATGGTGGGGATGGTGTTCTTGGGGTCATAGGCAGCATTCCTCCTCCTCCAAACACGGCGAGTTGAGTTGATGCCAAAGAGCTCGATTTTGGTCTCATCTGACCACAACACTTTCACCCAGTTCTCCTCTGAATCATTCAGATGTTCATTGGCAAACTTCAGATGGCCCTGTATATGTGCTTTCTTGAGCAGGGGGACCTTGCGGGCGCTGCAGGATTTCAGTCCTTCACGGCGTAGTGTGTTACCAATTGTTTTCTTGGTGACTATGGTCCCAGCTGCCTTGAGATCATTGACAAGATCCTCCCGTGTAGTTCTGGGCTGATTCCTCACCGTTCTCATGATCATTGCAACTCCACGAGGTGAGATCTTGCATGGAGCCCCAGGCCAAGGGAGATTGACAGTTATTTTGTGTTTCTTCCATTTGCGAATAATCACACCAACTGTTGTCACCTTCTCACCAAGCTGCTTGGCGATGGTCTTGTAGCCCATTCCAGCCTTGTGTAGGTCTACAATCTTGTCCCTGACATCCTTGGAGAGCTCTTTGGTCTTGGCCATGGTGGAGAGTTTGGAATCTGATTGATTGATCGCTTCTGTGGACAGGTGTCTTTTATACAGGTAACAAACTGAGATTAGGAGCACTCCCTTTAAGAGTGTGCTCCTAATCTCAGCTCGTTACCTGTATAAAAGACACCTGGGAGCCAGAAATCTTTCTGATTGAGAGGGGGTCAAATACTTATTTCCCTCATTAAAATGCAAATCAATGTATACAATTTTTGACATGCGTTTTTCTGGATTTTTTTGTTGTTATTCTGTCTCTCACTGTTCAAATAAACCTACCATTAAAATTATAGACTGATCATTTCTTTGTCAGTGGGCAAAAGTACAAAATCAGCAGGGGATCAAAGACATTATGACATTTGAAATGTCTTTATTCTTTTGAAACTTCTGAGTGTAATGTTTACTGTTAATATTTATTGTTGATTTCACTTTTGTTTACTATCTACTTCAATTGCTTTGGCAATGTTAACACACGTTTCCCATGCCAATAAAGCCCTTAAATTGAAATTGAAATTGAAATTGAAAGCGAGGGGGAGAGAGAGAGAGTGTGAGTGAGAGTGAGAGTGAGAGTGAGAGTGAGAGTGAGAGAGAGAGAGAGAGAGTGAGAGTATGAGAGAGAGAGAGAGAGAGAGAGAGAGAGAGAGAGAGAGAGAGAGAGAGAGAGAGAGCGCGAGGGGGAGAGTGAGAGATAGTCACCATGAAAGCCAGTGAGGTGAACAGGAAGCCCATGACCAGCTTGACGTAAGGTCCATGGCCCATCACCAGTCTGATACCCTGCCAGAACGACATGAGCTCTGACCGGGGGGGGCGAGACGACTCTGGAGGGGGGAGGGAGATCATGTTGTAATCAAAGTTAACCTACATGTCAAATGTGTTTCAACTTTATGATACCCCTCCATCTCATGAGGGTGAGAGTTGATTATAATTATGATAATAAATTATATAATCTAAAATATAATATATCATTAAAACAAACACTAGGAGAATAAGATCTAGGAGGATGAATGACTGACGGTATATAATAACTCTTCAGTTCTTTCAGAACTTCTCTTAACGTAGGTCACTCAGCAGTTGACAAGTACGTTTCTAAACCCTAACAGATAACCTGTTAGAGCAGGACTGCCCAACCCTGTTCCTGGAGAGCCACCGTCCTGTAGGCTTTTGCTCCAACCCTAATCTAGCGCACCTAAATTCTAATAATTAGCAGGTTGATAAGCTGAATCAGGTTAGTAACACCTGGGGTTGGAGCGAAAACCTACACGAGGGTAGCTCTCCAGGAACAGGGCTGGGCAGTCCTGTTTTAGAGCATCAAGCCACAACGGTCACAGCCCATCAGGCCATTGTCACGATACAGCGTCATCACAACCCCACTGTAGATCTCAATAACATCCACTTCACACGAGGGAGTGTGCGCTTGTTTAGTAGGACTGTCAACTCATCATTATCCAATAGGTACGTGGAACGTTAATGACCCGAAAGTTAATACATAATATCAACAGGGGGTTTTGTTGATTTGAGATAAATGCTTTACCTTTCCTCTCCTTGACTCCGAGGAACAGTACCATGGCACAGAGCACGTAGATGGAGCAGATGGCACCGGAGGCTATCATGTAGGCCGCTTTCTGTGACAGTGGAGAGGAACAGCAGCTTTAGTGGACTGTATTAACAGTAGTAGTAAAAACATACAAAACAACACCCAAAAGACGAGCTATGAACAGAGAACAGCCGATAGGAGGGAGGGACAGCAGGTTATTAGACTATAGAACAGTAAACAGAGAGAACAGCCGATAGGAGGGAGGGACAGTAGGTTATTAGACTATAGAACAGTAAACAGAGAGAACAGCCGATAGGAGGGAGGGACAGTAGGTTATTAGACTATAGAACAGTAAACAGAGAGAACAGCCGATAGGAGGGAGGGACAGTAGGTTATTAGACTATAGAACAGTAAACAGAGAACAGCTGATAGGAGGGAGGGACAGTAGGTTATTAGACTATAGAACAGTACACAGAGAGAACAGCCGATAGGAGGGAGGGACAGGAGGTTATTAGACTATAGAACAGTAAACAGAGAGAACAGCCGATAGGAGGGAGGGACAGTAGGTTATTAGACTATAGAACAGTAAACAGAGAGAACAGCCGATTGGAGGGAGGGACAGTAGGTTATTAGACTATAGAACAGTAAACAGAGAGAACAGCCGATAGGAGGGAGGGACAGTAGGTTATTAGACTATAGAACAGTAAACAGAGAGAACAGCCGATAGGAGGGAGGGACAGTAGGTTATTAGACTATAGAACAGTAAACAGAGAGAACAGCCGATAGGAGGGAGGGACAGCAGGTTATTAGTCTATAGAACAGTAAACAGAGAGAACAGCCGATAGGAGGGAGGGACAGTAGGTTATTAGACTATAGAACAGTAAACAGAGAACAGCCGATAGGAGGGAGGGACAGTAGGTTATTAGACTATAGAACAGTAAACAGAGAGAACAGCCGATAGGAGGGAGGGACAGCAGGTTATTAGACTATAGAACAGTAAACAGAGAGAACAGCCGATAGGAGGGAGGGACAGTAGGTTATTAGACTATAGAACAGTAAACAGAGAACAGCCGATAGGAGGGAGGGACAGTAGGTTATTAGACTATAGAACAGTAAACAGAGAGAACAGCCGATAGGAGGGAGGGACAGTAGGTTATTAGACTATAGAACAGTAAACAGAGAGAACAGCCGATAGGAGGGAGGGACAGTAGGTTATTAGACTATAGAACAGTAAACAGAGAGAACAGCCGATTGGAGGGAGGGACAGTAGGTTATTAGACTATAGAACAGTAAACAGAGAACAGCCGATAGGAGGGAGGGACAGTAGGTTATTAGACTATAGAACAGTAAACAGAGAATAGCCAATAGGAGGGAGGGACAGCAGGTTATTAGACTATAGAACAGTAAACAGAGAGAACAGCCGATAGGAGGGAGGGACAGTAGGTTATTAGACTATAGAACAGTAAACAGAGAGAACAGCCGATAGGAGGGAGGGACAGTAGGTTATTAGACTATAGAACAGTAAACAGAGAACAGCCGATAGGAGGGAGGGACAGTAGGTTATTAGATTATAGAACAGTAAACAGAGAGAACAGCCGATAGGAGGGAGGGACAGTAGGTTATTAGACTATAGAACAGTAAACAGAGAGAACAGCCGATAGGAGGGAGGGACAGTAGGTTATTATACTATAGAACAGTAAACAGAGAACAGCCGATAGGAGGGAGGGACAGTAGGTTATTAGACTATAGAACAGTAAACAGAGAACAGCCGATAGGAGGGAGGGACAGTAGGTTATTAGACTATAGAACAGTAAACAGAGAACAGCCGATAGGAGGGAGGGACAGTAGGTTATTAGACTATAGAACAGTAAACAGAGAGAACAGCCGATAGGAGGGAGGGACAGTAGGTTATTAGACTATAGAACAGTAAACAGAGAGAACAGCCGATAGGAGGGAGGGACAGTAGGTTATTAGACTATAGAACAGTAAACAGAAAACAGCCGATAGGAGGGAGGGACAGCAGGTTATTAGACTATAGAACAGTAAACAGAGAACAGCCGATAGGAGGGAGGGACAGCAGGTTATTAGACTATAGAACAGTAAACAGAGAACAGCCGATAGGAGGGAGGGACAGTAGGTATTAGACTATAGAACCGTAAACAGAGAGAACAGCCGATAGGAGGGAGGGACAGTAGGTTATTAGATTATAGAACAGTAAACAGAGAGAACAGCCGATAGGAGGGAGGGACAGCAGGTTATTAGACTATAGAACAGTAAACAGAGAACAGCCGATAGGAGGGAGGGACAGTAGGTTATTAGACTATAGAACAGTAAACAGAGAGAACAGCCGATAGAGGGAGGGACAGTAGGTTATTAGATTATAGAACATAAACAGAGAACAGCCGATAGGAGGGAGGGACAGTAGGTTATTAGACTATAGAACAGTAAACAGAGAGAACAGCCGATAGGAGGGAGGGACAGTAGGTTATTAGATTATAGAACAGTAAACAGAGAACAGCCGATAGGAGGGAGGGACAGTAGGTTATTAGACTATAGAACAGTAAACAGAGAACAGCCGATAGGAGGGAGGGACAGTAGGTTATTAGACTATAGAACAGTAAACAGAGAACAGCCGATAGGAGGGAGGGACAGTAGGTTATTAGACTATAGAACAGTAAACAGAGAACAGCCGATAGGAGGGAGGGACAGTAGGTTATTAGACTATAGAACAGTAAACAGAGAGAACAGCCGATAGGAGGGAGGGACAGTAGGTTATTAGACTATAGAACAGTAAACAGAGAGAACAGCCGATAGGAGGGAGGGACAGCAGGTTATTAGATTATAGAACAGTAAACAGAGAGAACAGCCGATAGGAGGGAGGGACAGTAGGTTATTAGATTATAGAACAGTAAACAGAGAACAGCCGATAGGAGGGAGGGACAGTAGGTTATTAGACTATAGAACAGTAAACAGAGAGAACAGCCGATAGGAGGGAGGGACAGTAGGTTATTAGATTATAGAACAGTAAACAGAGAACAGCCGATAGGAGGGAGGGACAGCAGGTTATTAGACTATAGAACAGTAAACAGAGAGAACAGCCGATAGGAGGGAGGGACAGTAGGTTATTAGACTATAGAACAGTAAACAGAGAGAACAGCCGATAGGAGGGAGGGACAGCAGGTTATTAGACTATAGAACAGTAAACAGAGAACAGCCGTTAGGAGGGAGGGACAGCAGGTTATTAGACTATAGAACAGTAAACAGAGAGAACAGCCGATAGGAGGGAGGGACAGTAGGTTATTAGAATATAGAACAGTAAACAGAGAACAGCCGATAGGAGGGAGGGACAGTAGGTTATTAGACTATAGAACAGTAAAACAGAGAGAACAGCCGATAGGAGGGAGGGACAGTAGGTTATTAGATTATAGAACAGTAACAGAGAACAGCCGATAGGAGGGAGGGACAGTAGGTTATTAGACTATAGAACAGTAAACAGAGAGAACAGCCGATAGGAGGGAGGGACAGTAGGTTATTAGACTATAGAACAGTAAACAGAGAGAACAGCCGATAGGAGGGAGGGACAGCAGGTTATTAGACTATAGAACAGTAAACAGAGAACAGCCGATAGGAGGGAGGGACAGCAGGTTATTAGACTATAGAACAGTAAACAGAGAGAACAGCCGATAGGAGCGAGGGACAGTAGGTTATTAGACTATAGAACAGTAAACAGAGAACAGCCGATAGGAGGGAGGGACAGCAGGTTATTAGACTATAGAACAGTAAACAGAGAGAACAGCCGATAGGAGGGAGGGACAGTAGGTTATTAGACTATAGAACAGTAAACAGAGAGAACAGCCGATAGGAGGGAGGGACAGTAGGTTATTAGACTATAGAACAGTAAACAGAGAGAACAGCCGATAGGAGGGAGGGACAGTAGGTCATTAGACTATAGAACAGTAAACAGAGAACAGCCGATAGGAGGGAGGGACAGTAGTTTATTAGACTATAGAACAGTAAACAGAGAGAACAGCCGATAGGAGGGAGGGACAGTAGGTTATTAGACTATAGAACAGTAAACAGAGAACAGCCGATAGGAGGGAGGGACAGCAGGTTATTAGACTATAGAACAGTAAACAGAGAGAACAGCCGATAGGAGGGAGGGACAGTAGGTTATTAGAATATAGAACAGTAAACAGAGAACAGCCGATAGGAGGGAGGGACAGTAGGTTATTAGACTATAGAACAGTAAACAGAGAGAACAGCCGATAGGAGGGAGGGACAGTAGGTTATTAGATTATAGAACAGTAAACAGAGAACAAGCCGATAGGAGGGAGGGACAGTAGGTTATTAGACTATAGAACAGTAAACAGAGAGAACAGCCGATAGGAGGGAGGGACAGTAGGTTATTAGACTATAGAACAGTAAACAGAGAGAACAGCCGATAGGAGGGAGGGACAGCAGGTTATTAGACTATAGAACAGTAAACAGAGAACAGCCGATAGGAGGGAGGACAGCAGGTTATTAGACTATAGAACAGTACACAGAGAGAACAGCCGATAGGAGCGAGGGACAGTAGGTTATTAGACTATAGAACAGTAAACAGAGAACAGCCGATAGGAGGGAGGGACAGCAGGTTATTAGACTATAGAACAGTAAACAGAGAGAACAGCCGATAGGAGGGAGGGACAGTAGGTTATTAGACTATAGACAGTAAACAGAGAGAACAGGCCGATAGGAGGGAGGGACCAGTAGTTTATTAGACTATAGAACAGTAAACAGAGAGAACACCGATAGGAGGGAGGGGACAGTAGGTTACTAGACTATAGAAACAGTAAACAGAGAACAGCCGATAGAGGGAGGGACAGTAGTTCATTAGACTATAGAAACAGTAAACAGAAGAACAGCCGATAGGAGGGAGGGACCAGTAGGTTATTAGACTATAGAACAGTAAACAGAGAGAACAGCCGATAGGAGGGAGGGACAGTAGGTTATTAGATTATAGAACAGTAAACAGAGAACAGCCGATAGGAGGGAGGGACAGTAGGTTATTAGACTATAGAACAGTAAACCAGAGAACAGCCGATAGGAGGGAGGGACAGTAGGTTATTAGACTATAGAACAGTAAACAGAGAACAAGCCGATAGGAGGGAGGGACAGTAGGTTATAGACTATAGAACAGTAAACAGAGAGAACAGCCGATAGGAGGGAGGGACAGTAGGTTATCAGACTATAGAACAGTAAACAGAGAGAACAGCCGATAGGAGGGAGGGACAGTAGGTTATTAGACTATAGAACAGTAAACAGAGAACAGCCGATAGGAGTGAAGGACAGTAGGTTATTAGACTATAGAACAGTAAACAGAGAGAACAGCCGATAGGAGGGAGGGACAGCAGGTTATTAGACTATAGAACATAAACAGAGAGAACAGCCGATAGGAGGGAGGGACAGTAGGTTATTAGACTATAGAACAGTAAACAGAGAGAACAGCCGATAGGAGGGAGGGACAGCAGGTTATTAGACTATAGAACAGTAAACAGAGAGAACAGCCGATAGGAGTGAGGGACAGTAGGTTATTAGACTATAGAACAGTAACAGAGAACAGCCGATAGGAGGGAGGGACGTAGGTTTTTAGACTATAGAACAGTAAACAGAGAGAACAGCCGATAGGAGGGAGGGACAGTAGGTTATTAGACTATAGAACAGTAAACAGAGAACAGCCGATAGGAGGGAGGGACAGTAGGTTATTAGACTATAGAACAGTAAAACAGAGAACAGCCGATAGGAGGGAGGGACAGCAGGTTATTAGACTATAGAACAGTAAACAGAGAGAACAGCCGATAGGAGGGAGGGACAGTAGGTTTATTAGACTATAGAACAGTAACAAGAGAACAGCCGATAGGATGGAGGGACAGCAGGTTATTAGACTATAGAACAGTAAACAGAGAACAGCCGATAGGAGGGAGGGACAGTAGGTTATTAGACTATAGAACAGTAAACAGAGAGAACAGCCGATAGGAGGGAGGGACAGTAGGTTATTAGACTATAGAACAGTAAACAGAGAACAGCCGATAGGAGGGAGGGACAGTAGGTTATTAGACTATAGAACAGTAAACAGAGAGAACAGCCGATAGGAGGGAGGGACAGTAGGTTATTAGACTATAGAACAGTAAACAGAGAGAACAGCCGATAGGAGGGAGGGACAGTAGGTTATTAGACTATAGAACAGTAAACAGAGAACAGCCGATAGGAGGGAGGGACAGTAGGTTATTATATTAAAGTAACCTGATAGACCTAGTATTAGTCACATGTAGTAGAACATACGTTTACACTTTACGATAAAGCTACTGTATGTTATTCTTCATGAATGGTTTTTAGACTCTCGGGCTGATACAGAGACTCATCCATGCTTTTATTACAAGCAGGCTTGAACACTGTAATGCTCTCCTGTCTGATCTACCCAAGAAAGCCATTGTTTTTCTTCCCTGTAAAGCACACAGTGTTGCATTCCATGTCTGAAATGTGCTGTATAAATAAAGTTTGTTTTGATAGGATACGTGGGTGTATGTCGGTGTGTGCGAGTGCGTCTGAGTGGACGCGTACCGTTTGGTCCAGGGTGATGACCGTGGTCGTGGCGTTGACTTCCTGTCCCAGCAGCAGGGAGGAGTTTAGCCCATCGGCCGTGACATTATCACCGGGCGCCGGGATACAGGGGGCGTTGGCCATGCCCACAATCTGACCCTGGACGGCTGTGCCAATCACAGTACCCATAACCTCCACAGTCATTCCTGATTGGACGAGAAGAGAGAAGCATACAGATGAAACCAACCAATCTTTCTATTCTGTCCGAAAAAACAACCAATGATCCTCTTGGTGGTCCTCTGTAGCTCAGTTGGTAGAGCATGGTGCTTGTAACGCCAGGATAGTGGGTTCGATTCCTGGGACCACCCATAAGTAAAACATATGCACGCATGACGAAGTGGCTTTGGATAAAAGCGTCTGCTAAATGGCATATATTATTATTAATATATTATTGATTGAGTAGATTGTGTCCTAATATCCAAACTTGCAGACTACTAGCCGTGGGCACCATTAACGATAATTCAATGTGATATCGATATTGTTTGATATTGATATTGGCAAGACATATCATTATATCGGTCTATCCTTGAGGTTAACCTACACTATACACTCACTAGCCAGTTTATTAGGTACACCCATCTGGAACCGGGTCGGACCCCCCCTTTGCCTACAGAACAGCTTGAATTCTTCAGGGCATGGATTCTACAAAGTGTGGCGTTCAAACGTTGCTCAATTGGTATCAAGGGACCTAACGTGTGCCAGGAAAACATTCCCCACACCATTACACCACCGCCACCAGCCTGTTCCTTTGGCACCAGGCAGGATGGGTCCATGGACTCATGCTGCATACTGTGTGCCAAATCCTGACTCAGCATGACGCAACAGTTTTTCCACTCAATTGTCCAGTGTTCGTGATTGGCGCTTCTTCTTGTTTTTAGCTGATAGGAATGGAACCCGGTGTGGTCGTCTGCTGCAATAGCCCATCCGTGACAAGGATCAACAAGTTGTGTGTTCCGAGATGCCGTTATTTGTCTGTTTGGGGCCCGCCTGTTAGCTTGCACCATTCTTGCCATTCTCCTTCGAGCTCTGTCATCAACGCGCTGTTTTCACCCATAGGACTGCCGCTGACTGGATGTTTTTTTTTTTTTCATTTGTCGCACCATTCTCGGTAAACCTTAGACACTGTCGGGCGTGAAAAGTCCAGGAAGGCGGCTGTTTTTGAGATACTGGATCTGGCATGTCATTGCACCGACGATCACGCCGCGCTCAAAGTCACACACAAGTCACAGTCGTTTTGCCCATTCTAACGTTCAATCGAACAGTAACTGAATGCCTCGATGCCTGTCTGCCTGCTCTATATAGCGACTCACTGTCTGCCGGAGCGAACCATTTTCGTGAACGGGGTGGCCACTGAGCGTATAGGACAGGACGGTTCCTGTAGTTCTATTTAATTGCCCGCTGATGGGCCCAGTGGGTCTCATTGTATTCAAACTGGTTCGGTAGGTTTTAGGTCCCAAAGAGCACACACACCTGGCCCAATGGACAATCAACAAGCAGTTGCTTGGACTTCACAAAAGCCTTGGAAATTAACAGAAAAGGAACACAGTTGCAATCGTAAAAAAAAATAAAATAAAAAAAAAAATGTGCAACTGATATCGATTTTCCATATCTTTGCCCTTCATTACTATTTAATAGTCTCTAGGTAGCGAGGTAAGGGTCCAGGTAGAGGGGACTTACTGTAAGCAGTGGCAGAATCCCTTTCCTTCTGGTCTTCACTGATGAACATGGTTAGAGCTGAATAGGGCACATGGAAACACTGGAGAGGGAGGGAGAGAGAGACAGAGGAGACATTGAAATGATTGGATTGTACCGGGTTTGTGTTGCTTTATACGTGTGGAATTGTGTGCAGGATTCCTTTAACTCACCGTCTGGAGGGTCTGGAAGAGGCAGTAGAAGACCAGGTACCAGATGACCCTCCCGTTCTCAAACGTAGGAACATACCAGATAAGGAAATAACTGACCACTGCTAGAGGAGTAGAGAACAGGATCCTAGAGAGACAGAGACAGAGAGACAGAGACAGAGACAGAGACAGAGACAGAGACAGAGAGAAAGAAATAAAGAAAGAAGAAAGAAAGAAGAAGAAAGAAAAGACAAGAAACAGACAGAGAGAAGTTCAAAGACAGACAGACAGGGAGAGATAGAGAGAGAGAGAGAGAGATGGAGAGAGATAGAGAAGAGGGAGCGGGAGAGGGAGATGGAGAAGGAAGAGAGAGAAGGGGAAGAGATATAGAGAGAGAGCGGGAGAAGAGGAGAGGAGAGAGAGATAGAGAGATAGAGAGATAGAGAGAGAGAGAGAGAGAGGGAGCGTGAGAGGGAGAGAGAAGAGAGAGAGAGAGAGAGAGAGAGAAGAGAGAGAGAGAGTGGGATAGAGAGAGAGAGGGAAGAGAGAGAGAGAGAGAGAGGAGAGAGAGAGAGAGAGAGAGAGAAGAGAGAGGGGGAGAAAGCGAGAGAGAGAAGAGAGAGAGAGAGAGAGTGGGGAGAGAGCGAGGAGAGAAAGAGAGAGGGAAAGAGAGGGGCGGAGAGAGAGAGAAAGGGAAGGGAGAGAGGAGAGAGAGAGAGAGAGAGAGGATGAGAGGGAGAGAGATAGAGAGAAGAGGGATAGAGAGTAGAGAGAGAGAGAGAGATATAGAGAGGAGAGAGCGATGAGGAGATAGAGAGAGAGAGAGGATAGATGCGAGAGAGAGAGAGAGAGAGAGAGGAGCGAGTAGAAGATCGAGCAGAGAGAGCGGTTCTCGTACGGAGAGATATATCTAGCTAGCGAGTTGTCTCTGCGTCTCTCGAGATAGAATGAAGATCGAGAGTGTGCGAGTAGCCGCTAATAGCTGATCTAGAGAGGGCGCGAGCAGATATAGGTCGATCGAGATAGCGAAGGCGAATTTAGCTCTCGATCTCAGGTTGAGCGTCTCGCTCGAATATATCTCGAGATGATGCTCTCTAGCGATATCTATCTCTCTCTCCTCTCGCGTCGCTCTCGAGCGAGCCTAGAGATAGAGCATATCTCGCGCGCGACTGAGGAGAAGGCTCTCTCTTTTTCTCCTCCTCGCGCTGCGCTCTCATAGGAGCGTGTCGCGACGCTATCGCTAGCGCTCGCTCTCGCGAGAAAGCAGCCTCCTCTCGCTCGCTCTCGCTGATCGAGCGCGCCTCTCTCGCTCGCTTGGCCTCCCCCCCTGCACCGATCTCCCGCTCCTCCTCGTCACATAACCACAGTGTCTGTACTAGACGCAATCTGATACTAATGAATTAGCTCTCACATACCTCTCTGGAGTAAATAAACAAGGCTATTCCACCCTGCTGACATTCACATTTGAGTCTAACGGTTCAGGCCAGTGATGTGGATAGGCAAAAAGGCCAAAGTAGTCAAATAAGGAGACTAGTGTTTTTCTGTAGGGCAGAAATCGGCCTTGATAGCTGTGACAACGGTAATTTCAAAGTTAACTAGATCGTCAAATGGAGAGTCATTTCTTATTTCTGAAAGGCAAAGATTACCTTGGGAGATTGGCCTTGTGACAACGGGTGCATTTCAATAGTCAAAAGAGGCGTCCTCATCTCCTCTCCTTCAGTACCAACCAACGATCTGATTAAGGATATAAGGAAGGAACTTGTCACACTACAGTTCTAACAGTACTGTCTGTTATTCCCTCCCCACCAAAGTCCACAGCATGGGAAGGCCCAGTTCACGACCAGTACAAAAACAGGGCAGGGGAAGTCATTTCTACCATTATCCAGTCAGGGGAAGGGGCAGGTTGCCTTACCAGTAGACAGCGGGGAAGGCAGTTCTACCATAAAACATGCAGGGAAGGCAGTTCTACCAGTACACAGGCAGGGCAGGCAGTTCTACCGTACAACAGGCGGGAAGTGCAGTTCGACCATACAGCAGGCAGGGAAGGCATTTCTACCATTACACAGTGCCGGGGAAGGGCAGGTTCTAAACAGTACACAGGCAGGTGAAGGCAGTTCTAACCATCGCACAGGCAGGGAAGGCAGTTCTACCATATACAGGCAGGGGAAGGCAGTTCTAACCAGTAACAGCAGGGGAAGGCATTCGAACCAGTACAACAGCAGGGAAGGCAAGTTCTATTCCCAGTAACAGCAGGGGAAAGGCAGTGTCTACAGTACACAGGCCAGGGGAAGGCAGGTCTACTCAGTACAACAGGCAGGGGAAGTCATTCTTCTACCAGTAAAACAGGCAGGGGAAGGCATTCTACCAGTACACACAGCAGGGGAAGGCATTCTGACAAATACAACAGGCCTGGGAGGCAGTGCTACAGTACACAGGCAGGGAAGGAGTTCTCTACCAGTACAACATGGCAAGGGTAAGGCAGTTCTATCCAGTATACAGGCAGGGGAAGGCAGTTCTACCAGTACGACAGGCAGGGGAAGGCAGTTCTGACCAGTATACAGGCAGGGGAAGGCAGTTCCACCAGTACACAGGCAGGGGAAAGGCAGTTCTACCAGTATACAGGCCAGGGGAAGGGCAGTTTCCACCAGTACAACCAGGCAGGGGAAGGCAGGTTCGAACCAGTGAACAGGCAGGGGAAGGCAGTTCTAAACCAGTCCACAGGCAGGGGAAGGCAAGTTCTAACAGTGACACAGGCAGGGGAAGGCGTTCTAACCAAGTCCAACAGGCGGGAAGGCAGTTCTACCAGTAACAGGCAGGGGAAGGCATTTCTATCCCAGTATACAAGGCAGGGAAGGCAGTTCTACCAGTACACAGGCAGGGGAAGGCAGTTCTACTACCAGTCCACAGGCAGGGGAAGGCAGTTCTACCAGTACACAGGCAGGGAAGGCAGTTCTACCAGTACAACCAGGCAGGGGAAGGCAGTTCTACCAGTATAAGGCAGGGGAAGGCAGTTCTACAAGTGCACAGGCAGGGGAAGCAGTTCTACCAGTACACAGGCAGGGGAGGCAGTGTCTACCCAGTGCACAGGCAGGGGAAGGCAGTTCTACCAGTACAAAGGCAGGGGAAGGCAGTTCTACCAGTACACAGGCAGGGGAAGGCAGTTCTACCAGTATACAGGCAGGGGAAGGCAGTTCTACCAGTACACAGGCAGGGGAAGGCAGTTCTACCAGTACACAGGCAGGGGAAGGCAGTTCTACCAGTATACAGGCAGGGGAAGGCAGTTCTACCAGTACACAGGCAGGGGAAGGCAGTTCTACCAGTACACAGGCAGGGGAAGGCAGTTCTACCAGTACACAGGCAGGGGAAGGCAGTTCTACCAGTACACAGGCAGGGGAAGGCAGTTCTACAGGTACTGTCTGTTATTCCCCACCAGTACACAGGCAGGGGGAGGCAGTTCTACAGGTACTTAGGAATGATTAGCCGTTTTTCAGCACTGCCAGTAAGAGATGAATGATGTCACTTTAAATGTAATGTGTTATGTAAGGGCTGTGTGAGAAAAGTGGGTCAGACAGGTGAAGGATAGGAACATCCCATTATCTTACTCTCCCTGATGCTTTCTACCTCACTTCCTGTCGCTTGTGTGCAGATACTCTCCAGTGCACCCCCCTCCTCACACTACACACACACACACACACGCACGCGCACACACACACACACACACTCTCCCCCACAGACAGACACGCACACACACACTCTCCCCCACAGACTCACACACACACACACACTCCCCCACAGACCCACTCTCCCCCACAGATACCCACACACACTCTCCCCCCACAGATACCCACAGACACACTCCCCCACAGACACAGACACCCTCCCCCCACAAACACACTCCCTCTCCCCCCACACACACCCACACTCTCCCCCCACAGACACACACTCTCCCCCACAGACAGAGACACTCACACTCCCCCACAGACACACACACACTCTTCCCCCACAGACACACACACTCTTCCCCCACAGACACACTCTTCCCCCACAGACACACACCCACACTCTCCCCACAGACACCCACTCCCCCAAAGACACCCTTTCCCTTGGCACTCCAGTGGAGACAGACCATGATTATGTCATCCCTGAGTAAAGGGTCACTTTGGGGGAACGGAAGAATGTATATGGTCACTTCCTGTCCCAGTTATGGACTTCCTGTGGCCTGATCGACGCGTACCAACCGAGAGAGGGGCATGGGGTGTGTGTGTATGTATGTGTGTGTGTATGTATGTACAGTGGGGGGAAAAAGTATTTAGTCAGCCACCAATTGTGTAAGTTCTCCCACTTAAAAAGATGAGAGAGGCCTGTAATTTTCATCATAGGTACACGTCAACTATGACAGACAAAATGAGAACATTTTTTCCAGAAAATCACATTGTAGGATTTTTTATGAATTTATTTGCAAATTATGGTGGAAAATAAGTAATTGTTCAATAACTAAAGTTTCTCAATACTTTGTTATATACCCTTTGTTGGCAATGACACAGGTCAAACGTTTTCTGTAAGTCTTCACAAGGTTTTCACACACTGTTGCTGGTATTTTGGCCCATTCCTCCATGCAGATCTCCTCTAGAGCAGTGATGTTTTGGGGCTGTCGCTGGGCAACACGGACTTTCAACTCCCTCCAAAGATTTCCTATGGGGTTGAGATCTGGAGACTGGCTAGGCCACTACCGGACCTTGAAATGCTTCTTACGAAGCCACTCCTTCGTTGCCCGGGCGGTGTGTTTGGGATCATTGTCATGCTGAAAGACCCAGCCACGTTTCATCTTCAATGCCCTTGCTGATGGAAGGAGGTTTTCACTCAAAATCTCACGATACATGGCCCCATTCATTCTTTCCTTTACACGGATCAGTCGTCCTGGTCCCTTTGCAGAAAAACAGCCCCAAAGCATGATGTTTCCACCCCCATGCTTCACAGTAGGTATGGTGTTCTTTGGATGCAACTCAGCATTCTTTGTCCTCCAAACACTACGAGTTGAGTTTTTACCAAAAAGTTCTATTTTGGTTTCATCTGACCATATGACATTCTCCCAAATCATCCAAATGCACTCTAGCAAACTTCAGACGGGCCTGGACATGTACTGGCCTAAGCAGGGGGACACGTCTTGCACTGCAGGATTTGAGTCCCTGGCGGCGTAGTGTGTTACTGATGGTAGGCTTTGTTACTTTGGTCCCAGCTCTCTGCAGGTCATTCACTAGGTCCCCCCGTATGGTTCTGGGATTTTTGCTCACCGTTCTTGTGATCATTTTGACCCCACGGGGTGAGATCTTGCGTGGAGACCCAGATCAAGGGAGATTATCAGTGGTCTTGTATGTCTTCCATTTCCTAATAATTGCTCCCACAGTTGATTTCTTCAAACCAAGCTGCTTACCTATTGCAGATTCAGTCTTCCCAGCCTAGTGCAGGTCTACAATTGTGTTTCTGGTGTCCTTTGACAGCTCTTTGGTCTTGGCCATAGTGGAGTTTGGAGTGTGACTGTTTGAGGTTGTGGACAGGTGTCTTTTATACTGATAACAAGTTCAAACAGGTGCCATTAATACAGGTAACGAGTGGAGGACAGAGGAACCTCTTAAAGAAGAAGTTACAGGTCTGTGAGAGCCAGGAATCTTGCTTGTTTGTAGGTGACCAAATACTTATTTTCCACCATAATTTGCAAATAAATTCATTAAAGATCCTACAATGTGATTTTCTGGATTTTTTTTTCTCAATTTGTCTGTCATAGTTGACGTGTACCTATGATGAAAATTACAGGCCTCTCTCATCTTTTTAAGTGGGAGAACTTGCACAATTGGTGGCTGACTAAATACTTTTTTCCCCCACTGTATGTGTGTGTGTACGTGTGTGTGTGTGGACCCGCATGAAGGGGAAAAGAGAGGAGTCAGCTTTTCCTCAGCAAAAAATGGCCACATCCCATCCGGTCATTGATTGGCTAAAGAGGATATGGTGCAAGCCAGCCACATCATCATCATCATCATCATCATCAGGTGAGGACATGAAATGTCATATTGGACCACAATACGCCATCATGTGCAACCTGAACTGAAAACAGTTCAGTGATTTGTCACACGGCGGAGTAAAACCATGACATTTCTTCAGAACTAGATGATTCGTTTGGCTATTTCAGGTTCTGCCTGCTGGTGGAGATGCCTTAAAGAGGTGTATCAAAAGTGCAAAATGTTTCCTCGTCTTGCCTCCTATTGCTTCATCAGCACTAATAAAAAACAAAATGGCCAGGTGAAAACTATCCGGATTGGCTTAAATTAAACCTATTTTTGGACCTACTTTCACATCAAGAGTAGCTTTGTCTCCTTGTCTCTAAAAGCACCGGGCAGGTGGAAGCTGCATTTCCTAATAGGAGTTACTTTCACCGATCAGTGTTTTCAGATCAGTATTGACCTGGGAATGGAGAGAGGAGAGAGGAAGCCACTTCAGACAACTGAGATGCAGCCACTCAATAATGAGTACAGGACTGAGGAGAGAGTGGGTGAGAGAGTACGCCCCACCAACTCATGAGTGTGATGGGTTTTAGTGGCAGGGGGATGGTTGTTAAAAAAACGATATGTGTCAAGGTGGTGTGATCTACGGGATCTCACGGTCTCGCGGACACCGAGCAGAGAGCAGACGCCGGGTTCACATTTAGGGAGAGGTGTGACCGACCCATCAGGAATGTACATAATGTCCCGGTCGGGAGCCTGGCTTAGCCTTCTGTCCACGTCAAAGATCACTTGGCTCTGCCACGTCCCAAAACAAAGGTCCTGAACTGTCTGGGTGTTAGTCCAATGTTCATTGTAGCAAAAGGTCCTGTTTAATATCTGCCTGTACCTGTTTATTGTAGTTCATTGACTAATGCTGTTTCCTTATTATCCAAATGAAGACCAAATGTTATCAGTTGAATGATTTATTAATTACTAGTGTATGAAATAAAATTCAGAACATAGCATAGAATTTCACACAAGATGTCAACAAATGGTTCAGTTGGGCCTTTCTGAACTGTGTTCTTTTATCCAACTCTGGCTCCAATCTCTGTCTGTTTGCCTGTGACATTAATATATAAAAAGCAGCTCAAAAAGGTCTTATGTGCGATCGGCCTGAGCGCCCGGCCACACCCCCATGTCTTCCAAATGGAGCAACACCCATCTGAAGTGGACATTATAAAGGCTGGTTCCTGTGCCAACTACCAAGCCTGACTAGCACACTGTAATCCCAAACAGTTGTACTAGCTCATAAGCAATAAGGTCATAACAGTCAAAATGTCATTATGCAGTTGACCAAACTATAAAGTGTTGAGCTCTGTTGAGATTTATGCCACTTTAATTGAAGAGGGCTCAATATTCTATAGGTAATTTGTGTGGAACGCTCAAAAAGTTTAGGTAGTGTCATGACGTTATCGACGTCATGACGTTCTGGTGGGTGGGTCATCCCTCCCTCAGGAAAGCTGAGTCAGCCATCTTGAATTTGCCTTGATGCGGGGATGTTTGGGCCGCCCGTGTGGATGTGGAACACAGTTTAATTTGTTTTAATTTGTTTGCAATGCGCACTTTTATGCTGCCCGCTTGAAACCACCACCACCTCCGTTTTTATCATTAGTCTTATTGCCCTCGTTTTCTTAAGCGCCATCTTATCATCACCTCTGATTTGGTAAGTAACTCTAATGTTGTTTATTTTTTGTTTTGTTTTTTTATTGAATTTCGATAGTCTTAAATGTGGAACTGGGAATACATTTGTACAATGTGCACAGTGAATATTTGTTGTAAATAGTTTAAAAATCCAAGTAATTGTAACTTTAGAAGTTGTTAAATATGTGACAAATACGTTACGTTACTTCATCTTACAACGGTGTAACGTTATCAGCGGGGTTTCCTGGATGAACTACATTTCCCATAATGCATGTTTGCCCGGGAAATTGACGGTGGAGGAAGGTCCATGAGTGTTCGCTGTTCGCCGGTAATGCAAGTGCGTACTGTGAGTATACTTATTTCAATAAGTGTCTGCCTTACACATTAAATATTTTACGTTATCGAGCTGTGTGTACGTGTGTGCTAGCGTGAAACGAAACAATGCTAAACAACATAATGTGAGTGTGTTATCATGATGCTAACCAGGCCTGTGTTTGTATTTCTTCCTAGGCTCAAGTGTGTGGTTGTGAGATCATCTCGAAATCCTTTTAACAGTTCAGGTAGGATGTATTATGAAATAGTGTTACTAATAATTGGTTTTATTTTATGTGTTTCCACAGTCGTTCTGTTGCTATTTCTCTAAATGTTTTTATCTCAACTGTGGGGTCAACAGTTGATCACTTGAACCCTTTATTAATACTTTGTTAAATACAAAGAACAACAACAGAAATAGCAGATCTATAAGCACACAACTTTGATGCTTTGCTTGTTAATAACTAACTTGCTTATCTTTTAACATTTTCATTTTTACTATAATTAGTGTACAATGAATGTTTTTGATAGATTTGGAAACTTTTTATCTATATATTCACATTATTATTTTAAAAATGTTTTTTGAACATTAACAAATCATCTTTGTGCGCATGTTGTGTACAGATATCGGACTACAAAGAGTGCTACAGAGAGCCAGCGTTTCACCATCAGACAGGTGCTAATAGGTGAGTTTTGTAAATTGTGTACTAATAAAAATAAAAATAAAAGATTTTCGCCTTGAGTTATTCACAATGTTTAGATTTTTTTTGCAGCAGAACAGATTTAATCAAATTACTGATGTGTTAACTGGTTGGCATCATTTTTTTATTTTTTTTATTTGTTTAAATCAACTTTTGAATAGCCAAAAGTGCAAAACAGGGCTGAAATGGTTTAGACTTTAATCGAAAATATTTAAATTGCAGGCTGAAGTTGGCCCAATGGAGTGGAAGTGCAAGTTGTGTTCTGCAACTTCAAATACCCGGGGACAATTATTTTGGCACTATACTGTACTGCATAGCCAATATTCAAGAGTGTCCCCCCTGCCATGTCTCTATGACAGTTGCATTTGTACTTTTCCATCATTCGAAGCGATGAAAGCTCATCTGTCAAGATGTCATAATGATTCATGTAGAGTAGATGCAACTGAAGGAGCATGTGTTTTTTTTTACATGTCCTTTGTGTAACTTCAAGCAGCCCTTTTCTGAGGAAATTATATTGGGTCATTTGAGAAGTCA